AAAATCTGGAATTTTGTTAAGAAAATTTTTTAATTTTAATTAATTGATTAACTAATTAATTTATTTTTTTTTTTTATTCTTTTTTTTTTTGGGATNGTGGCAGGACTCCCTTGTAGACCCTGAGAGGAAATTGCAGGCCGTAGCACAAATTTTCTTTATTATGTACGTCTTTGTGAATTCAGAAGGGAAAAGTAGTAACTTTTCTTTGATCTTTCTGTTCTCATTTGCACAGCTCTTGAATTAGCAGAAGAAGCTGGACATACTCTTCAAGCTGTAAGCAGATCTCCCATTGTATAGAACTTTTGTTTAAAAAAGATTTCTGATAGATTTCTGATGAGTTTTTCTAGCATTGTTCTTGTTCATTTTGCACTTACATTCTTGATTTCAGGAACTACTTCGCCAAAATGGTGGAGAAGGAGGTTTGTGGCAATATTTATTTATAAAATTAATATATTTTTCTCAGTTTACTGAGTATTTTTCTGTGTCGTGGATCACCCGCCAACCCGAGAAACTGCCCATTTTTCGAAAGATTTCAAACTTTTTGTCATGTTGCTTTTTAGGGCAACTTCTTGTGCAGAATAACAATGATAATCAGGTCACGTCTGAGGTGATTATTATGTTATGTTGTTACATAATATTTTGTTATGTTGCGTTATGTTGTGTTTTGTTATATTACGTTAAGTTATGTTATGTTATTTCATGTTAATTCATTGTTTTTAATGTCTGCATTGCTTTCTCACTTGTCCTCCATTTCTCCTGCATAAGATTATCCGTTAAAACTGAACATCATGTTAAGTACTGTTTAAAAAACGTGCAGAAGTGAATTATTTCACCTCAAGTTTTTAACCTGATAATACATGACTGTTAGTGTTTTGAACGTCTTCAAAATCTCTGATATAGATCAACTCATTCCTGCACTAATATTTTGATTTTGGGTTATTTTGGTGTAAAAAATTTGACATAAAGTTTAGTTGTGTCTTTATCAGATATGAAGACACTCATTAAACATTAGTTTCTTTTGTTTTTCCTTTATGAATTATTGGTGAGTTTTTGAAGCTTTTTCTCTATTTTGTTAAGATTGCTTTATCTCTGAATTTTTCAAAGTCACATGCATGGACCTTTTAATAATGGTCCAAGATGGATCACAGTCAATGCATGCCTTCTTTTCCACTTAATTTTTTTTATTATTATATTTTATGTGTCAGAGTTCACCAAGTACGCCATTTGTTGAAGTGGTTTATGAGAAAGAAGGATTCTTGTACAAGAAAGAAGGAGTAAGTCAATAAATCTATGTACCTCTTGATATGCGTACCATATTTTCAAACTTGTTCCAGTGCACTAGGTGTTTGTTTGAACATGCTGCATATTTTGTCCCTAGTGTTCATTAAGCAAGGGAATTTATTCATTGCCCATGATAGCAGTATATGTTGTGGTTCAATTTTATGCTTGGTTCGAATTTTATTTTTCCTTGTTATTGGGTATGTTGATGTGTGATAATGAGGTTGAAAGAAAAAAAAAAAATCAAACGAAGGATAAAGGTGATCCATAACATATTTCCAATATAGGCAAAGCTTATTATGGAACAGAAAAAAAAAAAACTTGAGCATCAGAATTTATTCAAGATCTGGCATTTCGTTAAGAAAATTTATTAATTTTAATCAATTGATTAACTAATTAATTAATTTTTTCATTTGATTCATTTTTATTTAGGGCTGGAGAAAACGCTGGTTTCTGTTAAAGGATCGTCAACTTAAGTATGGAAGAGGGGTCGGTAGAGCTTGAGTTTCGTTTCTTAGCATTACATTTCGTTTCATTTCTACTAAATACAAGACTAAATGTACAATTATGTAAATCAAGTTAATATATTTGCAGCCTTACGAAAAGGAAGACCTTGTTACAATTGACTTAACAACTGTGACCTCGCTGGTGAAGTGTCCCAAGGGAGAGGTGTTACAGATGGATATTGTTACAGCTGACAAGTGAGAAAATCAGAATATTTAAGGGCGGCTATGTCACGAGGATATTGCTATTCTGTGCTTAACCCTTCAAGCCCCAATATCCAAATACAAATTCTCCAAACTGATCTCCATACATTTCCTTACGAATTAGTTCAGAGAATTTCATAAAAGATCAAGGCATTTTCTCTTTGGTGATCATTTTATTGATTCTCATAACCTAATCTCTTGACAATGTATGGATATCATTAGGAGAAAATTGATGTTGGTCACCATTAGGACTTGACGGGTGAAGACATTACTTAGTGTCTTTACTCATACACAAAATGCTCCTTTAGAGTCGGCAAGGAGATACCAAACAGATTGCATCAGGGAGTACTTACCAGAAAAAAAACTGGCCCAATTTTTCAGTTTCAGTCCATGTCCATCCTTGCTATCCGTAGCAACAGAAAGCAGTTTCAGTATGTAAATTAAGCCTTAGGGTGCATTCCTTTGGGATGATCCGGATCAGGATCAGTGATCCGAGATCACTCGGATCATTGTAAATCTGGCCTGCGTAGCATGGCGGTTTCGGTTGGGCGCGCTAAGTAATAAAGGCGGGCGAGGGCAGAGAAACTGCGAGGAGATGATCCGATGAATCCTTTTTAAGAGTGGATTCATCTTCGCCTTTGATGCATCATGATCCGAGTGATCTCGGATCACTGATCCTGATCAGGACGCACCCATAAATAACAAGAATGGACCATAATTTTTTGAATTCAATTGCTGTGAAGACACGTTCTAGCTTTTTAAAAAGAATGCAAATAGCGTGACATAGCGCCTCTAAAAACCCTCTTAAGCTTGAGAGTTTATTCAACCCCCCCCCCCCCCCCTCCCCCCCTACACCCCCCTTTCCCGCTTTCTCCTCTCTCCCCATTCTCTCTCCTCGACTACCATCATCTCGCACTGAATCTGACATATACACCCATCTGGCAAACCGAACACGCAGACACTTGTTCATTTTGCACTTACATTCTTGATTTCAGGAACTACTTCGCCAAAATGGTGGAGAAGGAGGTTTGTGGCAATATTTATTTATAAAATTAATATATTTTTCTCAGTTTACTGAGTATTTTTCTGTGTTGTGGATCACCCCCCAACCTGAGAAACTGCCCATTTTTCGAAAGATTTCAAACTTTTTGTCATGTTGCTTTTTAGGGCAACTTCTTGTGCAGAATAACAATGATAATCAGGTCACGTCTGAGGTGATTATTATGCTATGTTATGTTATGTAGTTATGTAATGTTTTGTTACGTTATGTATTGTTGTGTTTTGTTATATTACGTTAAAGTATGTTACGTTATTTCATGCTAATTCATTGTTTTAATGTCTGCATTGCTTTCTCACTTGTCCTCCATTTCTCCTGCATAAGATTATCCGTTAAAACTGAACATCATTTTAAGTACCGTTTAAAAAACTAGCAGAAGTGAATTATTACGCCTCAAGTTTTTAACCCGATAATACATGACTGTTAGTGTTTTGAACGTCTTCAAAATCTCAAATATAGATCAACTCATTCCTGCACTGATTTTGATGATTTTGGGTTATTTTGGTGTAAAAAATTTGACGCAAAATTTAGCTGTGTCTTTATCAGATATGAAGACACTCATTAAACATTACTTTCTTTTGTTTTTCCTTCATGAATTATTGATGAGTTTTTGAAGCTTTTTCTCTATTTTGTTAAGATTGCTTTATCTCTGAATTTTTCAAAGTCACATGCATGGACCTTTGAATAATGGTCCAAGATGGATCACAGTCAATGCATGTCTTCTTTTCCACTTAATTTTTATTATTATTATTTTTTAATTTGTCAGAGTTCAACAAGTACTCCATTTGTTGAAGTGGTTTATGAGAAAGAAGGATTCTTGTACAAGAAAGAAGGAGTAAGTTAATGTATCTATGTAGCTATTGATATGCGTGCCATATTTTCAAACTTGTTCCAGTGCACTAGGTGTTTTTTTGAACATGCTGCATATTTTGTCCAAAGTGTTTATTAAGCAAGGGAATTTATTATTTACTGCCTGGTTTGAATTTTATTTCTTTGTGTTATTGGGTATGATGATTTGTAAGAATAAGTTTGAAACAAAGGAACGTATAATTCAAACCAAGGATAAAGGTGATCCACTACATATATCTTCTCAATATACGCGAAGCCTATTATGGAACAAAAATAGGAGTAATTCAGAACTGGTATTTCATTAAGAAAATATGTTAATTGATTAATGTTAATTCATTTATTCATTTGATTCATTTTTTATTTAGGGCTGGAGAAAACGCTGGTTTCTGTTGAAGGATCGTCAACTTAAGTATGGAAGAGGGGTCGGTAGAGCTTGAGTTTTGTTCTTTAACGTTTCATTTCATGTCATTTCTACTAAATACAAGACTAAATGTACAATTGTGTAAATCAAGTTAATATATTTGCAGCCCTACGAAAAGGAAGACCTTGTTACAATTGACTTAACAACTGTGACGTCACTGGTGAAGTGTCCCAAGGGAGAGGTGTTACAGATGGATATTGTAACAGCTGACAAGTGAGAAAAAATCACAATATTTAAGGGGGCTATGCCACGAGGATGTTGCTATTCTGTGCTTAACTATACATGTACAAATTCTCCAAACTGATCTCCATACATTTCCTTACTGAATTAGTTGAGAAAATTTCATAAAAGATCAAGGCATTTTCTCTTTGGTGATCATTTCACTGATTCTCATAACCTAATCTCCTGAAAATGTATGGATATCATTAGGAGAAAATTGATGTTGGTCACCATCAGGACTTAACGGGTTAAGACATTACTTAGTGCCTTTACTCATACACAAAAATGCTTCTGTAGAGTCGGCAGGAAGATATCACACAAATTGCATCAGGGAGTACTTACCACAAAAACTGGCCCAATTTTTCAAGTTTCAGTCCATGTCCATCCTGCTATCCATAGCAACAGAAAGCAGTTTCAGTATGTAAATTAAGCCTTATGGTGCATTCCTTTGGGATTATCCGGATCAGGATCACTGAGCCGAGATCACTCGGATCATTGTAAATCTGACCTGCTTTTGCTTTTTTTGCTTTTGCTTGGGCGCGCTAAGTAATGAAGGCGGGCGGGGGCAGAGAAACCGCGAGGAGATGATCTGATTAATCCTTTTTAAGAGTGGATTCATTGGCTTCTTTGATGCATCTTGATCTGAGTGATCTCGGATCACTGATCCTGATCAGGACGCACCCATAAAGAACAAGAATGGACCATAATTTTTAGAATTCAATTGGTGTGAAGACACGTTTTAGCTTTTTAAAAAGATAGCAAGTAGCGTGACATAGCGCCTTTAAAAACCCTCTTAAGCTTGAGAGTTTATTCACCCCACCCGCCCCCCCTGGTATTTAACTTAATTGTCATGTGTATTGTGGATCCTTCTTTTTAGAACTCACAGTCTGAAAGCAGACACAGAGGAGGAGCTAGAGGCCTGGTACGCAGCTCTAAGAAGCAAACAGGTAGGAGCCTGGTGCTGAATACAATGGAATCTCTCTGAAATGTACAGTGGGACGTTTTCTTGTCATTAATACATTTTCACTGTTTGTTCTGTTTGTCTTAAAAGGTGTTTGGTGTTTTGCTGAGTCAGCAGCAGTTGGGTTCAGATGGTATCCCTCATTTGGTAGCGAAATGTCTGCAGTTTGTTGAAACCTATGGTATGAAACAAAGTTTTTTTTAATTTGATCTCTTAAGCTGCGTTCACACGGCAGGCACCAGACGAATTTTCGACCGGCTGAGGAGAGCCCTTAAGCAACAGGACGGGAAATCCGTGTGAAGTCTGGGGCGAGACCGGCGTCGCGCTCTACTCGCTTGAACATAAAAGCAACATCGCCGCCACGGCAACTTCCCGCCAAAAGTGAATTCGCGCTGCTTGCCTGCGCCGCTTCAAACTTTATCGCGCTTATTCCATCTCATTCATTTCGTCAAATGCTGGCAATTTTTTCTGGAGTTTCTGGGGTTGAATTCCAAAAGGCTGTATCAAAGTTCAGGAAAAGAAAAAGAAAGTCGTTGCCTTGTGTTCACGTTCTCCACAAAACGTGAAATTAGACATTTTCACGTTGTAGTCGTGCAATGAGGGCAAAGAAATGGACAAAAAAGGGTGATGCACGAGCAAAGTTGTTGTTTTGCCAATCTTAATGTATTGTTTTTTTGCCGTTCTCGTTGACGTCGACGTCGTCGTTGCTTAAGTTCCCTATTTGCCCAGTGCCGTGTGAACGTTACGTTATTTTACCGCTTTGTTAAAAGAGAAACTTCAAAAACCACGCAAGTGGAGACATGAATTATCGAGCATATAAGCTTACATGAGCTTTGACAGCCAAAAGCTCGGTTTGTCTATACGTGAGTAAGTTTGCTTTTCTTTACAAATGATTACAGGCGGTATTGAGATGGAAGGAGTTTATCGAGTGAATGGCGGACAGTTGACAATGAAGAAACTGAAGACGGCTTTTGATCAAGGTAAAGCTATGGAACTGTGATTGTTCATCTGCGAAAACGTTGCTTTTTCTAGTTTCATTTCAGACCAGGTTTCAACACAGTTTCGTAAAACTAAGTGCAACTCAATTTCTTCCTTATCTGAACTAAAAAACAAAACCAGCTAACTTCTGGAAGCATGTCACCAAGCTCGATCGGGAAACACGTGGGCGATGTTCTTCTCCTAACTGGTGAAGAAAAGTGGCCTGAAATTTTTTAACCAACCACAAAGCATCCGCAATCGGTCGCAAACGCGCGAGTACTTTTCACACTGTGTGAATTACTGATTGACACGTGTCTTATTTCAGATGCCAGAGGAGTGTTGTTGACTCTGGACGACTGCGGTGTTCATGACGTCACTGGTGTACTGAAACAGTACCTCCGACAGCTTCCCGATCCGGTCATTCCGGGTACCATGTACAAACAATTCATTGCAGCGGGATGTAAGTATCTGTCGCTTTATTAACCTGCTACAAGTTTTTGCTTTTAGCTGTGTACAATTGTGGTGCTGCATTTGCAAAGTGCGTTTTTCAAAGAGGATATTTACTTTGAATGGCTGCCCTTTACTATTTTAAGTAGCTCAATAATTTCGTTGATGTTGTTTATTTTTAGTAACTCATGACCACAGCACAAGATTGATAGCCATCAAGGACCTGATCAACCAACTTCCCAAAGTGAACCATGATACTTTGAAGGAAATCATTTTTCATTTGACAAAGTATGTATCACATACTCGAGAGCTTCACTAGAAGCCCTCACTCACTGGCGTTATTGCCTTGCATGAGTTTTCCCCGCTTGGCACCCGTTTCATTGTTCCCTGCGCTTGGCACCCGTTCCATATTTTCCCGCGTCCTGTACCACCTTCCCATAATCACCCACGCTTGGCATCTGTTCCATATTTCCCGCGCTCATAGCATTAGCTGAGTCAAGCTGAGTATTATTATTACATTCATTCTGCTACTTTTGCCTTCACGACAACAATAATTTACCACGCGGGGTGTTAAAGTACGTTTTTTAGTGCTTCTCATATTCTTAACTGCGTAGACTAGTATTAAAGCAGGGTGTTGACAGTTAAGCGTATTTCTTTTTCAGAGTGGTAGGATTTCACGCTGTGAATAAGATGGGTGTACCTAATATTGCTATGATCTTTGGACCCACTCTGATGTCTAATGAGAATGTAAGCATTCACATTTTTTCTTTGGGCACAAAAGGCGCGAAACTGTCTTACATCAAATGCGCTGCTTTTGCATTTCTACGCTTGTAATTGGTTAAAAAATCTGGCTCCTTTTTCTCAACCAATCAGTAGTAAAAGCACAATCAACCATGACTTGTTCACGTGCGTTCTATCGCGCTTTGCTGGCCGACGGCGGGCTCCATCCACTCGTTTCGAGGTCTGATCGGTCTGATTGGCTTGTTGTATTGTCTGAGTTGTATTTTCTGATTACTTTGTGTTCTTTGTTTTTCTTTTTGAACCGTATTTTTATTGTTACCATTTTTTTCAGACTGGTAGAATGGATGACGCCTCAATCAACCAGGAATTCTCCATTGTTGGAGATATGATCAATTATTACCAGTGGCTCTTTAGTGTAAGTTCGCAAAATGTTATGTAACAGAGTCAGTTTGGCATACTTGTAAAGTAATTTTACTGTGGAACCTGACTGCTATCGTGTAAAGCATAGTTTTCCTCCCATTGGATTGTTCTGCGCCTTCGTACAATTATCGGAACTCCATTTTCCTTTTAAAAGGCACCAGCGCCAATTTAGAAAGCTTACTCTTGAAAGAAAATGCACTCAAAGCAGCATCGAGTTTAGTTCGACTAAACTTCGCGCAAGTGAGTATTCGAGAATTTTTGATATAATTAGCGTAAGGCTCATGTCATTACTCCCCGATAGTGAGAATAATAACGATAACAACGACAACGACGACGAGGACGATGATGATGATGATGATGATGATGAATTTGATAACTCTGATGGTAACAATATTTTTTTTTCTGCTAGGTGGATAATGAGGAATTTGAAAAGGACAAGGTAGAAATTTCGAATTGTTTTTGTTTATATGTTGTCAAATTTACTAGATGATTTTGTCTCTCGATTGTCTAATGCCTGCTCTCATATTTGTTAGGCCATCCAACTTGCCAAGCAGAAGATAAGATTGCTGAACGAGTCCAGGGTACTACAATGAATTTAACATTTATTTTTTCATTGACGTGATGTTGTTATGGAGTCAACTATTATTTTGTTTTACAGAGCGAAAAAAGCGAGAGCACCAGTGGAGAATTCACTCTGGACATTTATGTTAAAGAGAAAAACGACGATGCTTGTCGATTGAAGGTGATTACTCATTCTTCCTTATCAATCATAGTGGATGAAATTTTTAAGGCGGTCTCTAACAAAGCCGTTTACGGAAGCAGTCGTTTCAACGTTTCTACTCTCCAACGCAGCCCCGTTATTTAAGTTCCCACGCGTGGCGTCACCCCTTTTGTGAAGCGTAGCGTTATGTTACGACCTGTTAAAGGAAAGCCTCCCACGCAGACGTTCTTAGGGGTTTGTCACGCGTTCCTACCCCACTAGGAACGCGTGACGAACCCCTAAGAACGTCTACGTGAGAGGCTAGTCTGTGACAGGCACTTTTCAGTAATGAAAACTCCTTTTATTTCCAGCGTAGTCTTTGTGGGTCACGCATCACGTCTCCCGTTGCGTGACTACCGGCAGAGTGACTTGTTTGAAAACTTTTTTTCAGGTTTCGTCTGAGATGACAGCGGGGCGGGTGTGTGCTGAGGTCGTAGCGATTAAGAAGTTACCACCGAATATTGACTGGGTTTTATTCGAAGTCATTGATAATGGAGCCATGGGTGAGTACTGTACTATATAAGGGAAAACCAAACACCTGTTTTTGCGTGTAAATGTATGACGGGTTGTGTCCCAGATTACCTTACATCCAAGCTAGTTACCAGAGACCAAGTTTCTGGCCGCGTAACACTTGATTCACAACGATTAAATATCCCTTTATTTAAAACATCTGCTGGGATTTTAGACAGAAACTAAGGCAAATATTGTTACAAAAATTTCTTGATCCCGCGAACGTTTTATAAACTTAGGTAAATTTTTCCCCTCATTTTAAGGTAGATATATATTTCTTAAAACCTTTATAATGCATTATACCTTTGTCTTGTATCACTGAAAAGCCCCGAAGGGGGAGTGTGCAATAAACTTCTTACTCTTACCCCTAGTCAGAAGTTAAATGACTTGTTGGTTAGAAATGATTTACATTCAGTGGAACCTCTCCTTTGGGACACCTCTATTCACGGGACTCTTGCCTCCGTCCCGATGGTATCTTCTGAATATCGGTTCCACTGTATTATGGCATAGAGTCCTTGCGTGATGCGTTCTTCTTTAGACAAAACAGTCACAAGAACATTGACCCCAAAGAACCCTTTAGAAATCTTTTCATTGTGAAACAATTTTTCCCATTCAGTACCATAGAAAATGTAGGGAGAATATGCTCGATTTCCGCCATCTCCCTGGTCCGTTCTTTGATCCTTNCGGGGCGGGTGTGTGCTGAGGTCGTAGCGATTAAGAAGTTACCACCGAATATTGACTGGGTTTTATTCGAAGTCATTGATAATGGAGCCATGGGTGAGTACTGTACTATATAAGGGAAAACCAAACACCTGTTTTTGCGTGTAAATGTATGACGGGTTGTGTCCCAGATTACCTTACATCCAAGCTAGTTACCAGAGACCAAGTTTCTGGCCGCGTAACACTTGATTCACAACGATTAAATATCCCTTTATTTAAAACATCTGCTGGGATTTTAGACAGAAACTAAGGCAAATATTGTTACAAAAATTTCTTGATCCCGCGAACGTTTTATAAACTTAGGTAAATTTTTCCCCTCATTTTAAGGTAGATATATATTTCTTAAAACCTTTATAATGCATTATACCTTTGTCTTGTATCACTGAAAAGCCCCGAAGGGGGAGTGTGCAATAAACTTCTTACTCTTACCCCTAGTCAGAAGTTAAATGACTTGTTGGTTAGAAATGATTTACATTCAGTGGAACCTCTCCTTTGGGACACCTCTATTCACGGGACTCTTGCCTCCGTCCCGATGGTATCTTCTGAATATCGGTTCCACTGTATTATGGCATAGAGTCCTTGCGTGATGCGTTCTTCTTTAGACAAAACAGTCACAAGAACATTGACCCCAAAGAACCCTTTAGAAATCTTTTCATTGTGAAACAATTTTTCCCATTCAGTACCATAGAAAATGTAGGGAGAATATGCTCGATTTCCGCCATCTCCCTGGTCCGTTCTTTGATCCTTCCCGACAAGAGAACTCTTTTGTGGGGTAGGGGAGAGGGGTTGGGGGGTGAGTGCGGGCTCCGGCAGGTTCCGGAACTGCGGCTGGTAATCGAGCCTATGGGGAGAATAGCCTCCCTACCATGCAGAAATTCTGAGGGCTTTGTCACGCCTTTCTTCTTCAAGGTTCCCTCTGTTGTATTTGTCTTACTTGGCCGTTTTCCTTCTTTTCCAGAGCGTGCATTCCAAGTTCGAGAGAAAGTTCTTGCTGCTGCAAATTGGGGGAGTGGGAACTACCTCATCGTCAAGGAGAATTATATCGCTGAGCAGATTAATCCTCACGTAAATATTGTATTTTGTCCATTTTGGTGAAGATTTGAGGTCACATCTGTGACTCAAACTCGGGACCTCTACACATAAGGCCGCGCAGTAACCAAATGTGTCAATCCTTGTTCATGGTAGTTTGTTTTTGTTGAATGAAAGAAAAAATATAATTCTTTTCTGAATTGAAAAACGGAAATATCCAACAAACCATCGTTATAGGTTTTTTGGAGCAGGGATGATGCAGTGGAGAGAGCGCTCCCTTCCCACCAGTGTAGCCAGGGGTTGAGTCGCAGGATGGACGCCACATATGGGTTGAGTTTGTTGTTGGTTCTTCTTTCTGCTTTAGGAGGATTTTCTCCCGGTACTTCGGTTTTACCCGCTCCTCAAATACCAACATATCATAAGTTTAATTTGTACGGGAAAGTGTCTCCAAATTTGTAAGAACGCTTAGAGGGCCTTAGGTTTATCAGCAGTTCTTGCCAATGTCAAGTGTCACCATATGTATTTTTGTTTTCTTTTTCCCGTCAGGTCGGTTGGCTGTCAATGGAGGGCACTTTGCACATGCGGGAACCTAAAAAGGGCTGGAAACAGTCTCACTTAAGCTTGAAGAATGGCTACCTGTCAGTCAACAAAGAGAGAGGGGTCAGTTCAAATTCGCAATTTGTAGTAGTCAAAACTGTTTTAATCAATTGGGTAAATAAAAGGAAACCACACTCACTTTCCATTGTCGAAATCACTTCATCGCTTATCATTCTTTGGATTACTTTTGAAGTAATGAAAATAATGAGAATTTGGCCAATTGCAATGGGAACGAAAAGGCAGTGAGGGAGGGAGGGCTGGGGCACTTGCACTAGGCGCGTAGAGACATTAAGCGAACTATCAACTGCCTTCCCTGACCTCGTTCCCAGGGTCTCTTCTGTTTCTGACTCAAGGCAAGAAAAGAGAGGACCCTGGGTATGAGGTTATGCCTTGCCTATTCTTACAAGTCCCTGCCCCGCTCGTTACTTTTAATCTGAGCTCGGATGATATTTATTTCAGCTGATTGCAAAAGCGATTAAATCTGACAAATCTGAACCCGAGCAATGGCCTCTTCATAAACTGACTTTGTATGTGGGAGTTCCAGCCGAAAAAGCAACCAAAGGAGTCGACACAAGAACCCCCCCCCCCACCCCTCCCTGTATGGAACCTAATTGTCATGTGTATTGTTGATCCTTCTTTTTAGAACTCACAGTCTGAAAGCAGACACAGAGGAGGAACTAGAGGCCTGGTACGCAGCTCTAAGAAGCAAACAGGTAGGAGCCTGGTTCTGAATACAATGGAATCTCTCTGAAATGTACAGTGGGACGTTTTCTTTTCATTACTACATTTTCACTGTTTGTTCTGTTTGTCTTAAAAGGTGTTTGGTGTTTTGCTGAGTCAGCAGCAGTTAGGTTCAGATGGTATCCCTCATTTGGTAGCGAAATGTCTGCAGTTTGTTGAAACCTATGGTATGAAACAAAGTCTTTTTAATTTGTCCTCTAAAGCTGCGTTCACACGGAAGGCACCGGACGAATTTTCGACCGGCTGAGGAGAGACGTTAAGCAACAGGACGGAAGGAGACGGCGGCGATGGGAAATCCGTGTGGAGTCTGGGGCGAGACCGGCGTCGCGCTCTACTCGCTTGAACATAAAAGCAACATCGCGACGGCAACTTCCCACCAAAAGTGAAGACGCGCTGCTTACCCGCGCTGCTTCAAACTTTATCGCGCTTATTCCATCTCATTCATTTCGTCTAATATTGGCAATTTTTTCTGGAGTTGAATTCTAAAAGACTGCATCAAAGTTCAGGAACAGAAATAGAAAGTCGTCTTGTGTTCACGTCCTCAAAAAAAAACGTGAAATTAGGCAGTCTCACGTCGTAGTCGTGGAGTGAGGGGAAAGAAATGTACAAAAAAGCGTGATGTCCGTGCAAAGTTGTTGTTTTGCCAATCTAAACTTATTGCTTTTTTGCCGTCCTCGTTGACGTCGACGTCGTCATTGCTTATTATATCCCTATTCGCCCGGTGCCGTGTGAACGTAACGTTTTTTTTTTACCGCTCGGTTAAAAGAGAAACTTCAAAAACCACGCAAGTGGAAACATGAATTATCGAGCAGCTAAGCTTACTTGAGCTTTGACAGCCAAAAGCTCGGTTTGTCTATCCGTGAATAAGTTTGCTTTTTTTTTTTACAAATGATAACAGGCGGTATTGAGATGGAAGGAGTTTATCGAGTGAATGGCGGACAGTTGACAATGAAGAAACTGAAGACGGCTTTTGATCAAGGTAACGCTATGGAGATGTGATTGTTCATCCGCGAAAACGTTACTTTTTCTAGTTTCGTTTCAGACCAGATTTCAACAGAGGTCTGTCAACAGAGCTTCGTAAAACTGAGTGCAATTCAATTTCTTCCCCATCTGAACGAAAAAACAAAACCAGCTAACTGCTGGAAGCATGACACCAAGCTCGATCGGGAAACACGTGGGCGGTGTTCTATTCCTAACTGGTGAAGGAAAGTGGCGCGAGATTTTTTTAACCAATCACAAAGCATCCGCACACGGTCGCAATCGCGCAAGTACCTTTCACACTGTGTAAATTACTGATTGACACGTGCCTTATTTCAGATGCTAGAGGAGTGTTGTTGACTCTGGACGACTGCGGTGTTCATGACGTCACTGGTGTACTGAAACAGTACCTCCGACAGCTTCCCGACCCGGTCATTCCTGGTACCATGTACAAACAATTCATTGCAGCGGGATGTAAGTATCTGTCGCTTTATTAACCTGCCACAATTTTTTACTTTTAGCTTTGTGCAATTGTGGTGCAGCATTTCCCAAGTGCGTTTTTCAAAGAGTATATTTACTTTAAATGGCTGCCCTTTACTACTTTAAGGATCTCAATAATTTCGTTGATGTTGTTTATTTTTAGTAACTCATGACCACAGCACAAGATTGATAGCCATCAAGGACCTGATCAACCAACTTCCCAAAGTGAACCATGACACTTTGAAGGAAATCATTTTTCATTTGACAAAGTATGTACCACATACTCGAGAGCTTCACTAAAAGCCATCACTCACTGGCACTATTGCCTTGCATGAGTTTTCCCGCGCCTGGCACCCGTTTCATTGTTCCCTGCGCTTGGCACCCGTTCCATATTTTCCCGCGTCCTGCACCACCTTCCCATAATCACCCATGCTTGGCATCTGTTCCATATTTCCCGCGCTCATATCATTGGCTGAGTCAAGCTGAGTATTATTATTACATTTATTCTACTGGTTTTGCCTTCATGACAACAATAATTTACCACGTGGGGTGTTAAAGTAAGTTCTTTAATGCTTCTCATATTATTAACTGCGTAGACTAGTATTAAAGCAGGGTGTTGATAGTGAAGCGTATTTCTTTTTCAGGGTGGTAGGATTTCACGCCGTGAATAAGATGGGTGTACCAAATATCGCTATGATCTTTGGACCCACGCTGATGTCTAATGAGAATGTAAGCATTCACTTTTTTCTTTGGGCACAAAAGGCGCGAAACTGTCTTACATCAAATGGCTGGTTTTGCATTTGGTTAAAAAATCTGGCTCCTTTTTCTCAACCAATCAGTAGTAAAAGCACAATCAATCATGACTTGTTCACGTGCGTTCTATCGCGCTTTGCTGGCTGACGGCGAGCTGCATCCACTCGTTTCGAGTTCTGATTGGCGTGTTGTATTGTTTGAGTTGTATTTTCTGATTACTTTGTGTTCGTTGTTTTTCTTTTTCAATCGTATTTTTATTGTTGCCACATTTTTCAGACTGGTAGAATGGATGACGCCTCAATCAACCAGGAATTCTCCATTGTTGGAGATATGATCAATTATTACCAGTGGCTCTTTAGTGTAAGTTTGCAAAATGTTATGTATAAACAGAGTCGATTTGGCATACTTGTAGAGTAATTTTACTGTGGAGCCTGACTGCTATCGTGTAAAGCGCAGTTTTCCTCCTATTGGATTGTTCTGTGCGTTCTTACAATTATCAGAACTCCGTTTTCCTTTTAAAATGCACCAGCGCCAATTTCGAAAGCTTACTCTTGAAAGGAAGATGCACTCAAAGCAGCATCGAGTTTAGTACGACTAAAATTCGCGCAAGTGAGTCTTCGAGAATATTTGAGATAATTAGCGCAAGTCTCATGTCACTACCCCCCGATAGTGAGAATAATAACGATAACGACAACGACAATGATGATGATGATGATGATGATGAATTTGATAACTCTGATGGTAACAATATTTTTTCTGCTAGGTGGATAATGAGGAATTCGAAAAGGACAAGGTAGAAATGTCGAATTGTATTTGTTTATATGTTGTCAAATTTACTGGAGGATTTTGTCTCTCGATTCTCTAATGCCTGTTCTCATGTTTGTTAGGCCATCCAACTTGCCAAGCAGAAGATAAGATTGCTAAATGAGTCCAGGGTACTACAATGAATTTAACATTTATTTTTTCATTGACGTGATGCCGTTATGGAGTCAGCTATCATTTTGTTTTACAGAGCGAAAAAAGCGAGAGCACCAGTGGAGAATTCACTCTGGACATTTATGTTAAAGAGAAAAACGACGATGCTTGTCGATTGAAGGTGATTCCTCATTCTTCCTTATCAATCAGGGTGGATGAAATTTTAAGACGGTCTCTAACAAAGCCGTGTACGGAAGCAGTCGTTTCAACGTTTTTACACTTCAACGCAGCCCCGTTATTTAAGTGGCCACGCGTAGCGTCTCCCGTTTTGTGAAGCGTAGCGTTGTGTTACGACATGTTAAAAGAAAGAGTGAGTAGGCGACGGTAGTCGACTCTTTCTTAACGGACACCTCCATAAGACGTGCACCTCAGAAAACAGACACATAGAGTTGCTCCCTGCCTTTCTGTACTCCTTTTATTTGATTCCCTATTAGGGGGACATCTCTCTGAGACTATCCTCCCACGCAGACGTTCTGAGGGGTTCGTCACGCGTTCCTGCCCCACTAGGAACGCGTGACGAACCGCTAAGAACGTCTGCGTGGGAGGCTACTCTGAGACGGGAACTTTTTAGTCATGAAAACTCCTTTTATTTCCAGGGCAGTCTTTGTAGGTCACGCATCGCGTCTCCCGTCGCGTGACTACCCGCAGAATGACTTGTTGTAAAACTTTTTTTCAGGTTTCGTCTGAGATGACAGCGGGGCGGGTGTGTGCTGAGGTCGTAGCGATTAAGAAGTTACCACCGAATATTGACTGGGTTTTATTCGAAGTTATTGACAATGGAGCCATGGGTGAGTTCTGTACGATATAAGGGAAAACCATTTGTAGTCAGAAATTAAATGACTTGTTGGTTAGAAACCATGTACATGCAATGGAGCCTCTCCTTTGGGACACCTCTATTCACGGGACTCTTGCTCGGTCCCGATGGTATGTCCTGAATGCTAGTTCCATTGTATTATGGCATAGAGTCATTGTAGGATGCGTTCTTCAGCATACTTTCACTAATGAATGAGACAAAACAGCCACAAGCTGAACATTTGCTACAAACATCCCTTTAGAAATCTTTTCATTGTGAAACAATTTTCCCGGTCAGTACCCTAAGAAACGTAGGGTGAATATGCTCGATTTCAGTCATCTCCCTGGTCCGGTTTTTGATCCTTCCCGACAAGAGAACTCTTTTGGAGTGGATGTGCGGGCTCCGGCATTTTGCTGAACAGCGGCTGGTAATCTAGCCTATGGGGAAAATAGCCTCCATTCCTTGCAGAAATTCTGAGGGCCTTGTCACGCCTTTCTTCCCCAAAGTTCCCTCTGTCTTTTTTTTTGTCTTACTTGGCCGTTTTCCGTATTTTTCCAGAGCGTGCATTCCAAGTTCGAGAGAAAGTTCTTGCTGCTGCAAATTGGGGAAGTGGGAACTACCTCATCGTCAAGGAGAATTATATCGCTGAGCAGATTAATCCTCACGTAAATATTGTATTTTGTCCATTTTGGTAAAGATTTGAGGTCACATCTGTGAATCAAACTCGGGACCTCTCACACAGAAGGCCGCGCAGTAACCAAATGTGACAATCCTTGCTCGTGGTAGTTTGTTGTTGTTGAATTAAGGAAAAAAACAGAAATATCCAACAAACCATCGTTTTAGTTTTGTTGGAGCAGGGATGATGCAGTGGAGAGAGCATTCTCCTCCCACCAGTGTGGCCAGGGGTAGAGTCCCAGGATCGACGCCACATATGGGTTGAGTTTGTTGTTGGTTCTTCCATCTGCTCTAAGAGGATTTTCTCCCGGTACTTCGGTTTTCCCGCCTCTCAAATACCAACATATCATAAGTTTAATTTGTACTGGAAAGTGTCTCCAAATTTGTAAGAACGCTTAGAGGGCCATAGGTTTATGAGCAGTTCTTGCCAATGTCAAGTGTCACCATATTTATTTTTGTCTTCTTTTTCCCGTCAGGTCGGTTGGCTGTCAATGGAGGGCACTTTGCACATGCGGGAACCTAAAAAGGGCTGGAAACAGTCTCACCTAAGCTTGAAGAATGGTTATCTTTCAGTCAACAAAGAGAGAGGGGTCAGTTCAAATTCGCAATTTGTAGTAGTCAAAACTGTTTTAATCGATTGGGTAACCACACTCATCTGCTATTGTCGAAATCACTTCATCGCTTATCATTCTTTGGATTACTTTTGAAGTTATGAAAATAATGAGAATTTGGCCAATTTCAATGGGAACGAAAAGGCACTGAGGGAGGTAGGGCTGGGGCACTTGCACTAGGCGCGTAGAGACATTAAGCGAACTAATTAGCGAACTATCAACTGCCTTCCTCGACCTCGTTCCCAGGCTCTTTTCTGTTTCTGACTCAAGGCAAGAAAAGAGAGGATCCTGGGTACGAGCTTATGCCTTCCCTATTCTTACAAGTCCCTTCAAGGCTCGTTAGTTTTAATCTCAACTCTGATATTTATTTCAGCTGATTGCAAAAGCGATTAAATCTGACAAATCTGAACCCGAGCAATGGCCTCTTCATAAACTGACTTTGTATGTGGGAGTTCCAGCCGAAAAAGCAACCAAAGGAGTCGACACAAGGTAAGTGGCGTCCTTCATTTTAACACTTGAAAGGTGTTTTATTAGCTTATTTGTATGATTATGGCTGCAAGTTTATCCCACTGTAACAAATTTTAAGACAGTGATTACCATTCTTTGTCTCGTTATATTCATGTTCTTGGTAAATAAAGGTCGATGAATAACAAAACACGATGAGGTTGGTAATTTTACCTAGTTTGGTGATGTCTGGTTGGCTAATGTAAAGCCGTGAGCCCCAAAACTCTACACATATTCGTTTTGTGATAAACGTAAATTCATGTCTAAGCTATTACAAAGTGAAAACGAACTCAAAGTCATCGTGCGTGCAAATTGAAAAAAAAGATTGATGAAACGTTAATATGAATTCGTGGTCTTTCGCGGCTCCCGGTTGACCAGGAAATGGCCATTTACGTCTCTTACTTTTGTTATGTTACTGGCTCGATTTGGCAGCCATGAATGCTTACGCGTTCTTAACTGTTTGCGTTAAACCTTTGCCTGTACTGTACGGCGGTTTGGCGTTTATCGGGCCCTTGCGACGGTTAATGTTGGCGATAGCCGGAAACTTTCATATCTTTATCCGCAGTTCAAAGTATGAGTCATTTCATACATTTCCAGTTTACTCTCTATTTTTTATCAGAACAACCCCTTATGAGTTTCTGTTTTTATTCAATAGTTTTTTGTTTTCTCTAGTTGCGGATTTACTATTGTTGTGAAAACGGATCAGGAGGAAATCACTAGGTAAGTAATAATCAGAATTAGAATCGGAATCATATCCATGATAATTACAAATATTTTTCAAGTCGGCCTCTAATCACTGAAAAGTTGTTTTCGGGAGACCCCTCTTTTCTATATTTGCAAAGGTTGCCCATCGCGCCATGAAACATGAAATTATAAGAATAAAATATGCGAAATACAACAAAACGTTTTTCCGGTTGTCGCCTCTCTCAAGCTAGGATAAAAACCGATTAGTTATAATATTTTTGAGCGATAAAATGGAAGAGGGGTAAAGATCTTCGCCCCTTGTTCCAGTTAGATAACCTTTTAGTAAAGCTTTTACTATTGTTCACGAGGTTTGTGCTTGCAAGAGGCGTCTCTCTTCAATAGAGACAGAGTTTGTTCCTGATTGACACTCGCTAACCGTTCCATTTACTTTCGTCATGGAAAGGTACATTTGCGTTAAGGACAAAAGAGACTTGAATCGCTGGTTGGCAGCCATACTGAATATGAAGGTAATTTTGAACTATTGTTATTTTTTTGTGTATGTTTAGTTGCGGCTGATCAGATTTGAGTTTAAGTTTCTGAGTTGTACTAGTCTATAAATTTTCACTCTCTCTCGTCAGTGAGATCTCAGCTTGTTCCTGGCTCTCAGTTAGCTGGGACGAACAAAAAGGGCGAGAATAAGAAGAGTAGGCGATGTCTCTCTCCACTCCTCGCCCGTTTAATTTTTTCGCAGTCGCAAAACAGTCTACGAAGATCTTCACCAGGTCACTTTTGATCCGTCCCTGAGTCCTTTGTCCTTTTGGGGACAAGTGAGTGCTGGTAGCCACCTTGGATTCATCACATGCGCTCATCTCTTGAACTTACTCAATCATTATTTGACTATAATCTTCGTCTTTTTTTTTTTTGCATCAGCATCCTGAAGGTATCTGGTACGATCCTTCGCAGAAGGAAACAATAGCATCTTCATCTTCTGTGGGAGCTCAGGTATTGCTCTTGCATATTATTATTATAATATCATAGGTGACGAATTACTCCTTCATTTTGGCGCGAAATTTCAGCGTTAATTTGTAATTTCACATGTGAAATTACAAAATTGCCATGGCAACCTTCGTACGTCTCAGTGTCAAGATGGCGACGAAGTTTTAAAATGCCGTGAATGAAAATATCAGTGCACAAAAAGACGCTTTAGAAAACCTGAACACACAAGAGAACATCAAGAAGGATTCTAACAGGTATTTTGCCGAAATAGTCTGAAAAATTCTGAACTTTATAAGCCAGATTTAAGGTCTAAACATTTGAGAGAGTGGAGTTCTCGATCGATACAATCCAGGATAAACATGTCAAAAATCCAAGGTTGCTAACGTAATTCGTCCCCCATGATATTAATAGGTAGTCAAATGGTATACTCGTGAAATTATTCCCTAATTTCACTCGTCATCATTTGATTACACATACTTATTATTATTTGTGGGGGGTGGTGAGGGAGGGGGTAGGGGGGACTAATCCATGAGGTACGAAATACTCAACCCTTGCAGTAAATTTTTCGGCAAGCATCTGAAGCTATTTCAGAGATCAAACGGTCGTACAAAAATGGTTGTATTCCAAAGAGTAGCGATGAATAACTTTGTTTTGTATTTTTTTGTTTAACTGTAATTGGACGTTAATGACATTGTGCTTGTCGTTTTCTCTCTTTCAGCAGACGGACGATTTACCCATGTTTCTGGGAAGGCAGGTCTGTTGCTTAATCATTTCTCATCTGTATTGATTGTAATAGTATTACTCGCCCGATAGAGTACCGAAGTGATGACGTCATAGAAAATGAAATTTTTGAAATTATGGGATTTGTTAAGATATTCTGAAAGAACAACGTCCAAGACGCCTACTCGCCAAAAATTAGCAATTCGGGGCAAATTGTCTCTGAGATATTAGCCCAGTTATGCTGTGACGATTCCATACAAATCCTTCTAAATTTGTCTTGGTTCATAAGATTGGGAACCAGGTAAGATTTAGAAGGATTTGTATGGAGTCATCGGAGCATAACTGGGTTAATATCTCAGGGACAATCTGCCCCAAATTGCTAATTTTTGGCGAGTAGGCGTCTTGGACGTTGTTCTTTCAGAATATCTTAACAAATCCCATAATTTCACAAATTTCATTTTCTATGACGTCACACATCGGTACTCTATTACACCTGAATTTTAACCCAATCTTTCCTATTACCAATTAATTGTGTCAATAACAAAGGGCAGAATCTCAGTATCTCAGTATTGGAATATTTATTTATGTCATCACAAAGTTCTTGTGACGTCAGCTTGAAAGCTTCCAAAGCAAAAACATCGCTTACAACTTTTGGTGAAATCGGGATATGGAGGTCCAACTGCGTGAACTTTTCTTAAAATTGTTTTTCATAAGAATTAAATGTGTCAATATTTTAACAAAATGCGAGAATCTTATTAATGGAATATTACATCTTGTTAACACACTTGAGAGGTTTTACTTTATATGTTAAGTGTTCGATGTCTTTTACCCCTCAGTCGGCAGTCCTTCGACGAAAAGGTTCCTCAAAGCATGTCATGGATGAACTGAAAACAAGACAGAAATCCTTAAGACGGTCTACAGCCAGAAATCTTCAAACTTAAAAATGGAAAAAATGTATTATTGGTCATAAAGATGGAACATTGTTGTTAATAGGAAATTTAAGATTTAAAAAATAATAATACAGTATGCGATACATTGCAGTGCAAACGCTGTGGCTAAAGTTTGAACTTGCAGTTGACAGTGTTGATAAGATCAAAGATGATTTCACAGAGCTTTGTGAAATTACACTCAAATTAAAGCTTAGTTAAATTCAATTCATAAATATTGTGGCATTGGATGGCGCAATAATCGTGTGGTCATCAAAAGTTTGCATAGTTTTCAGGAAACAAACCCGTAGCTCAATGTGAACATAACAAGTTTCATAATCCATAATTATTCGGAATTAATTTATGCTCTGAAAATAGACGCTAAAAGTAATTATTGTTGTGAAAGAAGCCTAGTTATTAAGAAACGGTCCAGATAAGAACGATAGCAACAACGGCAACGAATATGTTGGAAGGCAAGAAAGGTGCTAACTTTTCTATTTTCTGTACTTACTTCTGATTGGCTTAAACAGCAAAAGTTAACAAAACGTCATATAAGCGGTACATATATTCATCCTTACTTTCCAACCATCTTCCATATGACAAAATCGTCTCAGTTTGAATAACAAAGAAATCCTATGTGGGGAACATGTAATATTGTAAACTTTTCTTGGCCATTGTTTTCAACTGTTGTGATTGGTCAAAATCTTTTAACACAAAAAAACACCCTTTCAAAGTGGAGTGTAAATGCATTTTGTTGCGTAAACGGCCTTCATGTGGGTTGATGCATTGTCTGTGTAAAAATGAGAACATTCCTATGTGGGGAAAGCACCGTTGCCGCATAACAAAAGAGATTGCTATCCACCTTACCCGGATCATTACTTAATTTCGAGGGAGGGTGGGGGCAGTCAAAGTTGTTCATCTCTCCATTCATCTCTGTAGGTATAAACGTTGATCGATAAATTCTTTGATTTGCCTGTCAAACCATTCTGTGGGGTTTTAAGGGAAACGTTTTGTACAAAACCTTGTAAAATTAGGACGTTTTGCGATATAAATCAAACCACTATAAATCGCATTGTGTAAACTGTGATGGACGGTGCCCACTTTTATTACTGCTCATAATTTCTGCGCATCAGAGGATAGTCGCGCTGTCCTTGATTAACAAGAACGCTGGCGTCTCGGAAGTCATGAATGGCAACCGGAAGTTTGGTTTTTCGCTTGATGAAACACTTGTGTCTGACATACCTCGTTGAAAACTTTTGTTGAACTCCAGTAGTATGATATTATCGAGTCAGAAAACTGATTAAGAGGAACGATCAACTGTGGGTTGTTATGTTGACTTCCGGACGTCAATGTACAACTTACTTAAGGTTGCCTACACCAGGTAACGAAAAAAAATATTGCGACACAGTCGACACTTCTCTAAGGCGACTGTCTTTTCCTTTTACAAGGGTGTCCGCCGACGGGAGATTCGACTATTTGATTAAGGCATTTTATGTGTAAAATTGATTGTGATGTAAAAACAGTGTCAAAATTTGAAAGAAATTTTGAAAGAATTGATGAGAAAGACCTTCAAAACTTAGTTGGGTTACGCTTAAGACTAAGCCAAGGTTAATCCCTTGATTCAGCGAAAGAGCGAAGTGAAGTGAAGTCTTATAGACGTTTTAAAATTTAGAATCTTTAATAGAAATAAAATACTTAGCTTTTTAATAGGGAAAAACAACTCTGTTTAATATAAAAACAGTTATGACGTCATTTTGTTAATTTTCTTATTTTTGTACAAATAAACAATTAAAATAATAGTTAAATGGAAGATGTTTTCCCCACGACAGGCATATTTTTGTCATATATTCAAAGAAGTGTAATAAAATAGTATTGTTATTCTGTCGTCCCAGTATATGGTTCTGCATCCATACTCCCAGGGAAGCCCCTTGGCATTGTTCACAATTTCTTTCAGGTTTAAAATTAAAAAGAACTCTTCAGTAGTATAGAAGGATCCGCTTACTCCTTTTGTTGTTCAGGAATCAGTAAAACTCAGTCGTTATATCCCGGTTCCACTGTAGCTAAGGGACCGGCAAAATTTGTTCGGTATACCGAGGTTTCGTTATATCGAGGTTCTTATTCATATATTTTACTATTGCTGAGGTAAAGAAAATCGTTCGTTATACCGAGGACCCGCGCTCTACTATCTGAACGCCTGGAACAGGCTAGTTGCTTGGCGCCGTCTTGGATATTCATGGTAAAGAACTGGGCTTAATCTTGTGACGTCAGTTGATAGTAAAATATCCGCATTTAGCGTCCACACGTTTCCGGAACATAGCTTATTCAAATATTTCCACCCTGGAGAGAGGACTCGTACGCCGGATTCACCGGATACGGGTGGACGGTAGCCGAATCCGGAAAGAAAAAGTTGCGGATTAAAAATATCCGGATACGTGTGGACGGGGCCTCAATGAGTTTCTCCCGCATTTTTTCATGAGCTTTAGACAAACCGTTCAATTCGCTAAATGCTGGCAACTTTTTCTGGAGTTGAATTCTAAAAGATCCAAGTTCGGGAAAAGGAAAAAAACAAGTCCGCGTCCACCACAAAACGTGAAAATTAGGCATTTTCATGTCGTGGTCGTGCAGTGACGGCAAAGAAATGTAGACCGGGGTCCCCCACTCCATGTAAACAGGCCCTAAATCCATAGAGCGTTTTCACATGACATCACGGCGGCCATATTGGTGTTTCTAAACAATGAAACGGCGACCATGTTGGTGTACCCGGTAAATCCTCTGGGAGTTAAACTCTTTTCTCATGTAAATGCTTTCTTTTGTTTCAATAAATTAGCATAGATGCTGGCCACGTGAGTGAAAATTCTCTATTGCATTTTTTTTGCCGTTCTCGTTGACGTCGCTGTTGTCGTTGCTCAAGTTCCCTAATGAAATTAATGCGCAAAAAGTAACTGGCTGAGAATAACCGGTTCCTACTATTCACCAGTCACCTAGACCACAATGCACCTTGCCTACTCCACAACAATTCGCATAACCATTGTCTTCGATCCCGGAGAAATTGGAAACAATGGTTATGCAAAATTTTGGGGGGTCTTTGTGAAAATGGTGAATATAGCGTTCTCACTCACGTGGCTAGCATCTATGCAAATTTATTGGAACAAACGAAAGCCTTCACATAAGAAAAGAGTTGGACTCCCCCAGGATTGGTTTGGAACACCACAGGCGGCCCAGACGTAGTATGTGTCATTGAATCAATATATTAATCAGGGGCACCCAACGGCAATTTTCGGGAAAATATCTGTTCGGAAGACGATTTGAGATCTAGAATTTTCGGAGCATTTGTTGTAAAATTTCTTGCTTGCCTGCCTCTCCTAGGGTTTTCGAACATCTACAAAATGGTATAATTACCCATTTTTAACGGATTTTGACCCTAAAAAAGGCCACCTAGAATTTTCGGAAGCCTTTTCCTGGCTAAAATTTTCGAGAAGGTAAGTTTTGATCCCTATAGTTTTCGGATCACTAGACTTTCAGCTAGGAAATCCGAACAGATGAAAAGTTTTTAGGGGATAAAAATATGCCTATATCTACCTTTTGAATACCAAAATACGTTCAACAATGCTTTGTTAAGTGGTTTTGAAATATATCCTCGTTGGGTGCCCCTGATTAATATTCACATGGACAAATTAATGCGATGAGTCGTCCAAACTCCCATGAACTAAAATAGTCCAAAAGTCAAAATATAACAAAACAAAGCTTAGATACCTTCAACTGAACGTATCCTTGTCTTTCATGACCGGTTTAAGTGGCATTTTGTTGAGTTTTGCAATTGTAGGTACTATCCACTAAAGAAGAATTAAAGGCTGGCTACAAAACAAACAGACCATCTCCACGCGCCTTCACACGAAGCGCTATAAATTCGAGAATAATCGACGAATCCGCTCCAAATTGCCATCGGCTAATCTGCAGGTAACGTGTGCTCCTGCTTCTTGCTCGCTGGCTCCACAAAACTCATCGCAACTGCACAATAATTGCTCGCTCATCAACAACCTCTGTTGACCTTTACGCTTCGATATGACCGCAAAGTACCAGGTATAATACGCGACGTGAATATTCAAGCTTAGCGACCGCGTTCGCGTAACAATGCAGCACTTGCTATAGGAGGGATGGTACTATTGCTTCTAGGTCAATCGACACTGACCGAAGGTTCGCAGCGTTAGTTTTGACCAGAAAACAAAAGGCGATCGCGCGACCGTTCGTAAGTTTTCAACAGGGCGGCCCTGGTTTTCAAGTTCGAATTCTTATAACGTTCGCTGTCACAGCTGCTGTCACATTGTTCGTCCAGCCGCTTGCCTAGGTTCTTGACTCTACTAGACCTATTTGCTTAGATTAATTAAATAAACAGTTCTTTCCAGAACAACGTCTTACTCCACAATATGTTGTCCAAACTGGTGAAGGAGGACGAGAATTTTCCGCCCAGGAAAAAGGCAAAATCTGGCCTCGGCTATGCAGCTGAATAGAAGATACAGCTGAAGATATCGTAAAGTAAAATTTATGTGCACGATATCTTTTTTTGTTATTATTATTCTCAAAACTCAGGGGCACCCAACGATGATTTCCCCCTAAATGCATTGAAAACACATTTAAGGCTGTCCAGAGTACTTTCGATCTAAAAATGCATTCTAAACAGCGCTTACATAAATTTAGTCAGGAGGGCTAAAAGTGAAGCTAATGATTTATAGTCTGCTCATACTAAATATAAAATATATCGTGTAATGCTAAGCGGAGAAGGCAACGAGACAGGGGCACCCAACGACTGTCTCCTCAAATACTTTGAAAACACTTTTGTGGTTATTCATAAAGTACTTTTAGCTCTATAGAAATACATTCTAAGTGGCGCTATAAAATTTGTATCTCAGTGTTCGGCCATTTTAGAGGAACTTGAGTCTTTTCGAAATTACGAGGAATTTAGAATTATTTTCCCGAAAATTTTAGATGCAATTTAACGTATTACGATTAGATAATTTTTCAGATTCCTCTTTTCATCACATTTTTGAATCCGAAAATTTTAGGATTCCTTTTTACTCTCTACGAAAAATAGCCTAACCCGGTGAGTGAAATGTGAAAAATTAAACGTTGGATGCCCTTGACCAGAACTGTGAAAAACAACAATAGGTCTAATTGCAGCACACTTTCTTGTTCATTTCCTTGTCGTTGATTTGCATGACTGCAACGTGAAACGTCCAGAAAACTTCCTGGTTTTCACTTTTTATGGAGGAAATGTGGTACATGTTCTTGTTCACTTTTTCCACTGCCGCTCATTTTTTTTAGCTCCGCTATAAAATTCGTATCTGTTCGGTGATCTTAGGGCAAATTGGATCTTTTTAAAAATTACAAGGGCTTCAATATTATTTTCCCGATTGATTGACTTAGAAGCAATAGTACAATCCCTCCCATAGCAAGTGCTGCATTGTTACGCGAACGCGGTCGCTAAGCTTGAATATTCACGTCGCGTATTATACCTGGTAGTTTGCGGTCATATCGAAGCGTAAAGGTCAACAGTGGTTGTTGATGAGCGAGCAATTATTGTGAAGTTGCGATGAGTTTTGTGGAGCCAGCGAGCAAGAAGCAGGAGCACACGTTACCTGCAGATTAGCCGATGGCAATTTGGAGCGGATTCGCCGATTATTCTCGAATTTATAGGGCTTCGTGTGAAGGCGCGTGGAGATGGTCCGTTTGTTTTGTAGCCAGCCTTTAATTCTTCTTTAGTGGATAGTACCTACAATTGCAAAACTCAACAAAATGCCACTTAAACCGGCCATGAAAGACAAGGATACGTTCAGTTGAAGGTATCTAAGCTTTGTTTTGTTATATTTTGACTTTTGGACTATTTTAGTTCATGGGAGTTTCGACGACTCGTCGCATTAATTTGTACATGTGAATATTAATATATTCATTCAGTGACACATACTACGTCTGGGCTGCCTGTGGGAACACCAACATGGCCGTCGTTACATTGTTTTGGAACACTAACATGACCATGGTGACGTTATGTGCTAAAAGGCTCTATACTACTCTAAACTAAATGGTAAGACTTAACTTTTCATTTGAACTCGATCAATTTGCCTGAAAAATAGACGTAGTTTCATGCAAGACATTGCAAGGCTTAGCTTCTTAGGTTCGCAAGGGCCCATTTCTTGAAAGAGTCTTGAAAGTTGAGCCTGAAGCTTTTTATTTATACAGCGTCGTAGGAAGACTGGAAAGTGAGTGAAGCCCCAATCTGCTAGATTCTCGTAGTGTAGTTGTAGACAGTTAGACTTACATCCTGCAGAAGCAACGGAATTCAGAGGCGAATACAACAGCGTACGTTGCCAAATACAAAGTTAAAGTTGCCGTGTGGAGCCCAAACGAGGTAAAGCGGACACGAACGTTAGTGAGTACTACTTTCGTCGTCATTCATTTTTCTGTAATATGAACCTGTAAGATACCTCCACTATCTTGATAATACAAGTGAGGCTATGGAGTTAACCTCGGAACTACCGTGAACAAATCCTTCTAGTGGTTAGAACGCGAGAAACGTGGGGCCACCTGATTGAAAGTCCATCTCGGCCACGCTGCCTCCAACACGGAGGCGGACTCGAGTGAGTGTTCACTGTACAAAGAGAATGTATCCCTCCATTTCTACAGCTGTATTTTCTATCTCGTACGCAGAGTTTCCCGCTGGGATGGATTTCAATGGCAATAGGCCATTTTACAGTTTTTACAGTTATGGATGGATGCGAGGCTGACAATGACCTTGAGTGCTTACCATTTGTATGGAAATTTCGGTGAAAAATTTCCGTCAAATGGTACTGGTATTTTTTGTGGGCACCGAAAACAGGAACGGGATCATGAGTTGCACCATTTAGAAAATACCGAAAAAATTTTCACTTTCTCTCGACATGAAGCTTGGCACTGGTAATTCAAACAAATGGTTCAGAAATTTTCGGTCGTTTCGGTAAGAACGGAAAAAAGGTAATACCTCGAAAGGTATTACTTTTCTTCCGGAAAATCTCCACCGGGATGAACCGTTCTGTTTGAATTCTCCCCGAAATTTCCGGGTTTTCCACAGAAATGGTAGGCACTCCTTGTTTTGATACAAACCTTCCTGCTTATAATCGGTTCCGGTGTAAATCAAGTTATTCCTATGCTAACTAGTATTTTTCAAGGCCAATTTCCATATCAGAGCAAAGCAGGTATATATCAAAACAAGGTCACCGTCAGCCTCACTTTAACTCAAAGGCTAGGGTACTAAGTTCACAACAGTTACTGTTTCCCAGCTCCTGCGCTTCTGGATGCTGTGTTGCAGCGTTTTATTTACACGATGCCTACATTAAATATCTATCTATAATCCCTTAAAATAGTCTTCTGTGGTCAAACACCAGAAACTCCGTCGTCCTTTTAAATAAAATCGCAGTTTCCTTTTATTAGTGGTTTCTACAGAATATCTCGGGGCCTGTCCTTTGCAGTTCCTCGCCTCTTCCCATCTCGTTTTGAACTCCAATATGAATCCGAATCGGAGTTTCATCAGCCATTTCCACGTTCATCTGGCGCTATAACCGGCAAATCTCTTCCTATCTTACAGGATCTTTTGATTTTAAAGTAGTGTTTTCAAAAAAATATTTGATGCAGAAAGCCAGAAAACCAAAAAACGTTGGGGTTATGAAACACGTAGGAAAAATCATTTAGCACTGTCCAATTAAAGAGAGATGAAAAAATGATATTTAAATCTTCTCGCGTAAAACGTTCTATAATGATCGATAAATTGCCTAAAACGCAACGTAAAAATATCTCCGCAGTAGTTGTAATAACAGGGCTCTATAATGTCGTGGATAATTACTCATATAATTTTGAAATACAAATCAATGTTGATTAGTGAACCATGGAGTACATTCCGGTTGTTTGTATCGGCGGCAGAAAGCCAGGGGCTTCACTTGCTTCCGAGAGCTGATTGACTTGTATTTCTCGGTATTGAGCTGGGTTACTATCAACTTCTCCGTCTGAAAATAACAAATAAACAAATAAATTAATCAATATTTCAGCCACTTCTCGCAAACTGAAGATCCGAGGCATAACAGTCGAAAGACGATCAAAGAGATACCACTTTGCCTGCATTAGGGAGCTTAACGCAACGACGACAACGACGACAGTGCATCCTTTCACACTTTGTCGTGTCTATTTGAACCCGCCAAATTTGTCAAATGATGTAGGCGATTTTCCTGGACTTTATCCAAGTTCAAAAAAGAGACAGGAAAATTCGTCGTCGTCTGTTCACGTCCTGTATAAAACGTTGCATTAAGAGGCTTCACGTCGTAGTCGTGAAGCTGGACGCCAAAGAAATGTACTTTAAAAGCGTGATGAGCGTACAGAGCTGCTGATTTTTTCGTTAAACCAACTGTTTTTGTTTTTTTACATTGTGGCTGTCGTCCTCTATTACGGGCACTGTGTGTCATGGTTCCAATCGGATTCACATGAGTCTTGTGATTTATGCTGTGCACAGCTCTGAACCTTTCCAATCACGGAGTCACGAATGACTCTCGTCATGAAACGTCTTATATATGTATAGTTCTATCGTTTGAGACTGTGACCAATGGTAGGGAGTTGTGTTCAGGATTGAACTGTCTCTCAAAGATTTGTCAGCAAATCTTTAATGGAGAGTCTTGCAAACTAATTTTATTACCGATTTAATAACAGTTAACGTTTTTTTTTTTTTTTTTAAAAAAAAAGAGTAAACGCATACATTGTTCACAATTTCTCTTTTTCTCTCCCATAGACTGTTCACAACTTCTCTTTTTTAGGGATAAATGCGATAACGAGTCACTTGCGTTCTGTTCCTGTTCACTCATTCATCACATAAATAAGGAAAACCCTCGAGATGTGACCAGAGTCTATATGGGAGAAACCGTTGTCGTTCAGAATCCAAGTGAGAAGGTGTAAATCTGGTTTGACAAACAAACTCTGCACAGAATGAAAGAACTTACAGTTATACTACTAATTCTGTCATGATAATACATGAATTCTTCACTAACCGTTTTGTCCAGCTACATCTGTTTGGTGCCTATTTAAGAGCCCTTCTTCGTAGTTTGGCGGAGGAACTTTCCTTGGACATAACTGGCCTAGTGTTGGACGAATACCAAATCGACCTGTTAAATAATGAACATAATTAGTTCCTGTTCCATTTACATAACCGACACTAACATGACCATGGTGACGTTATGTGCTAAAAGGCTCTATACTACTCTAAACTAAATGGTAAGACTTAACTTTTCATTTGAACTCGATCAATTTGCCTGAAAAATAGACGTAGTTTCATGCAAGACATTGCAAGGCTTAGCTTCTTAGGTTAGCAAGGGCCCATTTCTTGAAAGAGTCTTGAAAGTTGAGCCTGAAGCTTTTTATTTATACAGCGTCGTAGGAAGACTGGAAAGTGAGTGAAGCCCCAATCTGCTAGATTCTCGTAGTGTAGTTGTAGACAGTTAGACTTACATCCTGCAGAAGCAACGGAATTCAGAGGCGAATACAACAGCGTACGTTGCCAAATACAAAGTTAAAGTTGCCGTGTGGAGCCCAAACGAGGTAAAGCGGACACGAACGTTAGTGAGTACTACACTTTCGTCGTCATTCATTTTTCTGTAATATGAACCTGTAAGATACCTCCACTATCTTGATAATACAAGTGAGGCTATGGAGTTAACCTCGGAACTACCGTGAACAAGTCCTTCTAGTGGTTAGAACGCGAGAAACGTGGGGCCACCTGATTGAAAGTCCATCTCGGCCACGCTGCCTCCAACACGGAGGCGGACTCGAGTGAGTGTTCACTGTACAAAGAGAATGTATCCCTCCATTTCTACAGCTGTATTTTCTATCTCGTACGCAGAGTTTCCCGCTGGGATGGATTTCAATGGCAATAGGCCATTTTACAGTTTTTACAGTTATGGATGGATGCGAGGCTGACAATGACCTTGAGTGCTTACCATTTGTATGGAAATTTCGGTGAAAAATTTCCGTCAAATGGTACTGGTATTTTTTGTGGGCACCGAAAACAGGAACGGGATCATGAGTTGCACCATTTAGAAAATACCGAAAAAATTTTCACTTCCTCTCGACATGAAGCTTGGCACTGGTAATTCAAACAAATGGTTCAGAAAATTTCGGTCGTTTCGGTAAGAACGGAAAAAAGGTAATACCTCGAAAGGTATTACTTTTCTTCCGGAAAATCTCCACCGGGATGAACCGTTCCATTTGAATTCTCCCCGAAATTTCCAGGTTTTCCACAGAAATGGTAAGCACTCCTTGTTTTGATACAAACCTTCCTGCTTATAATCGGTTCCGGTGTAAATCAAGTTATTCCTATGCTAACTAGTATTTTTCAAGGCCAATTTCCATATCAGAGCAAAGCAGGTATATATCAAAACAAGGTCACCGTCAGCCTCACTTTAACTCAAAGGCTAGGGTACTAAGTTCACAACAGTTACTGTTTCCCAGCTCCTGCGCTTCTGGATGCTGTGTTGCAGCGTTTTATTTACACGATGCCTACATTAAATATCCATCTATAATCCCTTAAAATAGTCTTCTGTGGTCAAACACCAGAAACTCCGTCGTCCTTTTAAATAAAATCGCAGTTTCCTTTTATTAGTAGTTTCTACAGAATATCTCGGGGCCTGTCCTTTGCAGTTCCTCGCCTCTTCCCATCTCGTTTTGAACTCCAATATGAATCCGAATCGGAGTTTCATCAGCCATTTCCACGTTCATCTGGCGCTATAACCGGAAAATCTCTTCCTATCTTACAGGATCTTTTGATTTTAAAGTAGTGTTTTCAAAAAAATATTTGATGCAGAAAGCCAGAAAACCAAAAAACGTTGGGGTTATGAAACACGTAGGAAAAATCATTTAGCACTGTCCAATTAAAGAGAGATGACAAAATGATATTTAAATCTTCTCGCGTAAAACGTTCTATAATGATCGATAAATTGCCTAAAACGCAACGTAAAAATGTCTCCGCAGTAGTTGTAATAACAGGGCTCTATAATGTCGTGGATAATTCCTCATATAATTTTGAAATACAAATCAATGTTGATTAGTGAACCATGGAGTACATTCCGGTTGTTTGTATCGGCGGCAGAAAGCCAGGGGCTTCACTTGCTTCCGAGAGCTGATTGACTTGTATTTCTCGGTATTGCGCTGGGTTACTATCAACTTCTCCGTCTGAAAATAACAAATAAACAAATAAATTAATAAATATTTCAGCCACTTCTCGCAAACTGAAGATCCGAGACATAACAGTCGAAAGACGATCAAAGAGATACCACTTTGCCTGCATTAGGGAGCTTAAGCAACGACGACAATGACGACAGTGCATCCTTTCACACTTTATCGCGTCTATTTGAACCAGCCAAATTTGTCAAATGATGTAAGCGATTTTCCTGGACTTTATCCAAGTTCAAAAAAAGACAGGAAAATTAGTAGTCGTCTGTTCACGTCCTGCATAAAACGTTGCATTGAGAGGCTTCACGTCGTAGTCGTGAAGCTGGACGCCAAAGAAATGTACTTTAAAAGCGTAATGCACGTACAGAGCTGCTGTTTTTTCGTTAAACCAACTGGTGTTTTTTACATTGTGGCTGTCGTCCTCGTTGTGGTTACGTAAACTCCCTATTACGGGCTCTGTGCGTCATGCTTCCAATCGGATTCACATGAGTCTTGTTATTTATGCTGTGCACAGCTCTGAACCTTTCATCCCGGAGTCACAAATGACTCTTGTCATGAAACGTCTTATATATGTATAGTTCTAACGTTTGAGACTGTGACCCATGAATGGTGTAGGGAGTTGTGTTCAGGATTAAACTGTCTTTCAAAGATTTGTCAGCAAATCTTTATTTTTTTAAAGAAAAAAAAAGAGCAAGCGCATACATTGTTCACAATTTCTCTTTTTCTCTCCCATAGACTGTTTACAACTTCTCTTTTTTAGGGATAAATGCGATAACGAGTCACTTGCGTTCTGTTCCTGTTCATTCATTCATCACATAAATAAGGAAAAGCCTCGAGATGTGACCAGAGTCTATATGGGAGAAACCGTTGTCGTTCAGAATCCAAGTGAGAAGGTGTAAATCTGGTTTGACAAACAAACGCTGCACAGAATGAAAGAACTTACAGTTATACTACTAATTCTGTCATGATAATACATGAATTCTTCACTAACCGTTTTGTCCGGCTGCATCTGTTTGGTGCCTATTTAAGAGCCCTTCTTCGTAGTTTGGCGGAGGAACTTTCCTTGGACATAACTGGCCAAGTGTTGGACGAATACCAAATCGACCTGTTAAATAATGAACATAATTAGTTCCTGTTCCATTTACATAACCGGAAAGTTCTAAGGGTTTCTTTTACTTACGTGGGTCCTCTACTCTTTCTTGTCTTCTGTGTTCTAAATGCGTGTTTATGATAGCCTGGGCCTAATAACAAAAAGAAAACTTGTTATTACAGTGAAAAAGGAGAGGCTCGTCCACGCTAGTCTGAGTGCCTGCTTGCGCATAAGACACAGGAATAATAACCACATTTTACGGTATGAAAATATTCCTACCTTCTGTCTACAAAGAATCCGATCAGGATCAGTTGACAACTCGGTACTTGAAATATTATTTTTAATCGCCTAAAATTAAGATGTTTGAGAATGATTACAAAAAATAATAATTATCATAAAATAAGAGAAGTCAAACCTATGACAGTCAAACTGTAAGCTCTTTGAGGACAACTGCAGAATAAGGCAATATTGGAACTGTTGTGGGGCACCAACAACTGACACGGTGTCATAATTTGTGGAATTCTTAAGGATCCCATTTCATGGGCATTTTTAAAAGTTCCTGCGTGCTCATCTGGCAATGTACAAGTAAGAGTCTATCTCGTATACAAAATGTCCAATGTTTTGCAAGTGGTGCCACCTCTGATCATGTAAGCATTGAGCATATGTAATAGATATCTTTACAGAGCATGCAAAATGCCCATGTTGTGATACTTTCCTGGTAAATATATTTTTTGAAAAATTCATAGTAAATAGATCAAACTAATAAGAATTGGCATAAACTTACGACACGATCGTTGCTCAACTTACCATTGCTGCTGTAGATCTCGCATGTGCCGGTAGTTGTTCCTGGTAGGTGCTATCAGTAAAGTCAAATTCCTCTTCCACAGCCGAACTTCTTATTCTACCCAAATGAAGACAAAAATTTTCTTTTCAACTAATGAAGTGTACATAGGATATGTACATGGCCGTGTGGAGATACGAAACAAATGATAAATGAAACCTCTGGTCACTGGATGGTTAAGTAGTTAGTTATATTAGTCATACCAGTCACATAGATTCACAAAATTGAACTGTCTGTGAAATAAGGTACTAACGTCAAACTGTCAAATTCTCCCTTTGATTGATGAGCATATACAAGGAAAATTAGAAGGAGAATTTAGCAGTTAACAGAGGTCACTTGAGGCTTTATCCCTGGCAACCCTTTATTTTTTATAAGTGTCCCCATTAGCACATATCAAAAATACTGAAATGGCACCTTCTGCTATGTAATCCTCCCCTAGTGGGGGGGAGCGCTCAAAGGAAGTTTGCAGTGTAGAGATTGCCACCAAGGCCTTCAAACCATGACCTTGTTTATTTCGACAAAAATCGTTTATTTCACTACCCTGAGTGAGACAAAATATCTTATTTCATGACCCTGGTTCATTTTGTTTGGTATACAGAATTTTAAGCATTTTCATTTGTTAAACTTCACATGGAATTAGACTTTTATAAGCTGGTACCATACATATGTAGATCATTCATTCCCAACCTTCACACTCTTTCAAGGTGATGTTACACGAGACGATTCGCAACAACGACTTTTAGTGCAACACAGCATTGCAACATTGTTGCTACATTGTTTTGAATGGTTACAACATTGTTCCAACATTGGAATGCTGTGTTGCGCTAAAAATCATCATTGCATTGTAACATCACCTTTAGAGGCATCCAGTCCAAAAAGACACCCCAAAGACACTAAATAGTGAAACTGTATACCTTTAAAGAATCAAGGCCCTGAAAACCATACCCTGTTCAGCGACACATACCTGTTTAGGCCAAATAAGGGAGTGCCTACCACCGACAACGACAACGACAAATTTTATTGAAAATTGGAAAATAACTAATTACATTACTTTCCCACCCGCAAATAGCTTATGAACTAATCGAGGCGGGGGCAGCTGAACACAATTTACAAAACAAGATTTATATATAGATGGACTAAATAACAGTGAAGACACTACAATACAGTAAATAGAATTTAAACTAACATAAAACAAGGCATGTACATAACGATTACGAAGAGAGGCTAACCTAAAGTATTAAATAACTTAATAAGACGGGAGACTTCGACATAATCATCTTCTGACCGCAAAAAATTTAGTAATAATTCCTTTATTTTTTTACGAAAGGACGAACGTTTAAGTATTTTAATCGAATACGGAATAGAGTTCCAAATTTGGGCACCGATTCTCGTGAAAAAGGCATACATTTTATCGGTTCTAGAGAACTTAACATAAAACGAGTCGCTAGAGACAGATCTTGTTCTGTAGTTATGAATCTGACTTGTTTTAACGAACTGATTGAGAATACTAACTGGTGCTATCTGTCTGTTGATATCATACAATAAATAGCTACAATCTCTGAAAAATATGCTAGACAGGGGAAGGCAATTTGATTTGAGAAAGAAGGGTACGGCGTGTTCCTTAGACTTACTGAAGTAAATGAGACGTAAGGCCCGTTTTTGTAGAGTTACGATCTTTCTTTGAAATGTCAAGGCACAATTTCCCCAACCACAAATACCATAAGTCAAGTAAGGGACAATTAATGAGTTGTAAACTGAAAGTAAAACACGACGCGGGACATAATGTCGAATTTTAGCTATAATTCCTATCGACTTGCTGATTTTGTGACAGATAGATTCGATGTGGTATTTCCATGAAAGATTTGAATCAATCATTAAGCCAAGATATTTTACATAATCTTTCATTTCAAGGTTTGCGTAGGTGTTAGTCACGGAGTCAAAAATTCTAATCCTAGGTATGAAGGGCATATTCTTTTGCCGGGGACGAAAGATTACAAAATTTGATTTTTTTATGTTCAAGGACAGTTTGTTGGCCTTTAGCCATTCGTTGACGTTGCCAAGCTCGCGATTAACAAGTGTTTCGAGTTCCTTTAGGTTGTTATTTGCAAGTATTATACTAGTATCGTCAGCAAATAGATAAAAGGCAAATAACGAAGAGGACTTGTAAATATCATTGATGTACAGTAGGAATAAGAGTGGTCCGAGGACTGAGCCTTGTGGCACGCCGCACAAGGTCGTTTCAGCCTCAGACACAACATTATTAACTTCCGTAGTTTGCTTCCGATCAGTCAGGTATGATCTGAACCAGGAGTTGATTACACCTCTAATACCATAATTTTCAAGTTTAGCTAACAAAATTTCATGGTTAACAGTATCAAAAGCCTTTTTGAGATCGATGAAAACACCGCACGAAAATTTACCGTTGTCCATGTTTTGGAGAATTGTGTTAACAATATCAAGTACAGCATGCTGAGTACTGTGCTTACTGCGAAAACCGTATTGCTGATCATAGAGAACCACCCTTAGTATATAGCTCACTGATCCCAGGAACACTGGGGAAAAGCCCATAAGAAGCATCACTACTTACACTCTATTTGTTAAGAGAGAGTAAATCTTTTCCATCAAAAGAGAAGCAGCATTAGGCTTGCAGTGAATTGTCCCTTCTATAACTTCCTTGGGAATACCAAACTCGTGTCGCTGAAAAAACTAACAGATGAGAGACCAGAAGTAAATCAACATAAATGAAGCCCAATTTACATTTTAGAAAGGTTTTGGCTGTGCCACATATGGGAAGAAGCTTCTGGTTGAGTCAATCTGCAATCCAGCACTGAAATTCATGTTCTGGGTCTCCACCTGTGTACCAGGATTTGAGTATGCACCATGACTGGGATGTTAAAAAAGCCATTATCAATATGCCAATCAGATTGAAGGGAAATTAAAAATGCATTTCTGCTAATTCATTGAGTCCAGTGGGAACCCAAACATGGATATCAACCTGCTCCAAAGTCATTACTTACTGGGTTTAGATTACGTCTGTGACTCAGGCTTTGACAGGTTCAGCCTACAAGGAAAACCCTTTCTCTAAATGCATATTCAAAATTCCACCTTTCCTAATAAATTATATGCTATTTCTATTTAATTTATATGCAGTAACTTTTGTACCAGCACCAAATTCCTTTGGTGCATTGTGCAATGAGAGGCTTGGATTAATCTAAGGAGGTTCTGATAAACAATATGAGAACTTTTGTGATCTCTAGGTTTCTTTATAATATGCTTTTTCTTGATCAGCAGGTCCTTTCAGGAATGCTAAGAAAAGAAATCTACTTATGTAAGACCTTGGAAAGATCTTATGAGTTAACATTTCTAATTTTTAGATAGTTAAATGTTTTTCAGTCATTGAAATAACTTAATTTGGAAAGAAGAAGAATTCTTATATTTCAGAAAGCTCAGAAAAATTGCGAGCTGCAGGATCCTTACCCTTTGCAGTTGTGACCAGTTTCCCTGTCTGCTAGGCAATGATGTTCCGTTGTCATAAGAATGCATTTCAATTTCTTGTGGATAGTACCATGAAAAAATTTCTGCTATTAGATATCCATTTGAAAAATCCCTGTTTGGAATGCAAAAGGCAACAAATGATCAAAACAGTGATGAAAGTTGTCAAAACGTATCCAGCCTCGTATAGTTAAAATACTCTTCTTTTTACCTCCTGGTATTTCTAACCGGGTGAGAAAGGTCCAAGCTTTGCATCCATTTCAGTATTTCTCGTGGTAAACCACTCATTTCCTTGTGTAACTCTGGTAAAATGAACTTGAATTGTAAAAGAAGATCTTTCTTGAAAGTTTGGTCGAGTGCTGTCCGGCACCGTTGTCAAGGGAATTATTACCCACAATTCTTGTAGGCAAAGGCTGCTGAAATATCGCGGGCTCGTGGACTCAGGCTTGGTTTCGTGTTTGCACGATGTATGTAAATACTTTTGAATCGGCGCGCTGATATTTTTTATCAAGAGAGTTCTATAATGATGATTTTACCCGCTGAGGTCGAAGTTGGAGTTCTTCAAGTTACATTGGAACTGTTAATTTTCTGTCTTTTTCGCACCAGTGCTGTTCTATATTGATACTTGACTCTTGAAAGTAACAACATAGAACAGCAGTGGCCAGTGGTGCAAAAATTAAAATCGATCCCTACAGGTGCCCAGTACAGCAAACCACAAACCCTCGCCGAACCGGCTCTATGCAAAAAACTCGACTCAATTTAAGCCATGCCGAGTGCAGTTAAGAACTGATTGGGTGACCAGCCGGCCACCCCCCGGCTACCCAACGGATCGAGATGGAACTGTCTCAGCCCGCACTGACGGGATTTCCCGCGTCACAAATCCCACAAAAAAGTTCTCCTTTAGTCCATATAATAAATCTTTTATTGACCAAGCTTGTTCGGTCAAGACGGCTTTAAATTGGCCCCGTTCGCAAAAAAGAACTTGGCCAATATCCAGTCATCCTCAGTGACTCACGCTTGAACAGTGCTTGATCGATAGCGCATATCAGTAGCTTATTAACCAGTTATCATCGTTCGGGTGACCAACTTGTGTCATGAAGGCGCAGTCACAAAAGGAGCTTTACTGATTTTAAGACGATATTTTGACCCATGTCCCGTCTTTAACGTTGTCCGAATTTATATCAAGATGAGTTAACTGCCCTCCAAATTAGTTAGAAGAATTTCGCAAGAAGCCACGTTCCCCAAGATAAAATCGTATTAAAGCTGTACAAGGGTGAAAATATATTAAAGGTAAATTTCATTAAAAAAATCACCCTATTAAACAGACCAAGTTAGAAATGTATTTAATAAGCACGTGCTTTCGTTATTAGAACCCTTAATCAAACATAAATGGCAATCAAAACACAATCGTCTACACGAAAACCACCAGTAAGTCACCTGCTTGCACTCGTTACGGTTTTTAGCCGCCGCTAGGACAGATACTTTCCGCCTAAACAGTAAATTCAGCTGGAATCACTGACTTGGAACGAACTTTAAGAGGTCCTAGCGCGATGCACGTGTCACAGGCAAAAGTACAATTTTATATTTCTGATCAGTCAGTGGCTCTAAGCAACTAAATGCACCATATGGAGAGAACAGTTGTGTGGCCTTTTAGGGGTTTTTTATTCGTCCGCGGTGAGAGGTGAGTGGACACAAAAGTTTTAAAGATTTCTTGTTTTGAATTTTAATCGAGTTCATTGTGTCTTTTAAACACGTGGTTTGCTAAGGCTCGCACATGTTTGGTCAGTTAGTGTATTGTTCTTTTTTATTGTTTCACCGTTGCTCAGTTATTAGCTGTTAATTCAAGCATGAATACGCAAGAAAAGTTCTTTTTCATTCTAGTTCTGCCCTTCAAAAAAAGACTTCTAAAAGACATGCAAAAAAGGTCACATTTAATGTCTTTGTGTACACTTGGTTAGAAAAAAGCTTTTTATAAATTAACAAAACCACAACCTAATGTCAAAACTACCCTTTAGCTGTTTCACAGCAACACAAAATACTTGGTAAATATGTAGTTTCGCGCGAAATATTAAATTCCCCACAATTTGAACCAATCATATCGAGAGAAAAAAAGTTGAGCCACCCGCTAGCCAATCAAAAGGCAGTATTCATCGAATTACAACAGGTGGACTATAGAGAGAGGTTGTTTCATAAATTTAACATTATCTTTAGTCTGAAGCGACAGGTTCCCGGTTATAAAAAAGTCTTTTGTAAGTCTCCTGTCAAAAAGATTCTTTGTTTGGAAGAAAATTGCATGATTCAAAGGAAAAACTTTCTTTTATTCAAACCGTTCCTCTGGAAGCGAAGAGCTGGATCTGTCGATTCTGGAAGATCTCTGGGGGATTTCTTATGTCACCCATCTGATTTTTTCAAAGGAGAATAGCATTGTTCTCCAGTTTCGCGAGGAATTAAGAAGTTACTGGCATATCTTCCGTAGTCTTTCGTGAAGTGCACAACGTAAAATCGAAAAGGCAGTAAAGTGACAATTGCATTCTGGCGGATCACTGAAGGTCGAAGATCGTTTCGTTCACAACAAGATTAACTGAAGGTTTCCCACAAATCGAAAATGGCTGAGACCAGCGAAATTAAATTCAGCTTGGAAATTACCTCTTATTCTCCTGTGGCCTCGGTAATAGCACTCTATTGCCTTATGACAATTGGTGTAAATATTTTCGTTTGCTACTACATTTACCGCAAGAGAAGCCTTCGCACGTCATGCACCGCGCTCATTGTGGCAAATTTGGCCGCTGTGGATGTTTTGGTTTCAATCAAAGATTTACCACTGCTGATCTCAGTTGCCTCAAGTGGAAAATGGTACTTCGAAGAGCATTGGTGTCGCAGTTACGGTCTCACAAACGTAATCTACATAATTGTGTCGATTTCAACGCTCGTTACAATCACAACTGAACAGTTTTACCGCATGACTGAGGGACAAAATATTTCGGCTTCTAGTTCCAGTCGTACAATCCCTTTGGGTTACATCATCGCGCACACAACTCTCTCCTACTCATTATCTTTGTTATGGAGCAAGTACGTGTTTATCAGCAGAAAAGCGTTCTGCGAAGTTGATTGGCCTCCGTCCGGATTGAGTTTTACCCTTGTCACTTCCTGCATTTTTCTGATCCCTGTGTCCCTTCTGATTTACAATTTTTTCGGAAGCGACTCCGAAGAGAAAGAAACTTCCGACAAAGACAAGCTAGCTAAAATGGAGAACGGAGAAGGAGAGAGTGAAGCAGACAAAGCCCACTGTCGCCTGCAGCTCGCCATCACGGTGTTTTTGATCACATGGTCACCTTACGTGATAGAGAGCTTTTTCACGTATTCCTCAGAAGTTCCGAACATCGCTGGAGTTGTGTCAGCTTTTCTTCCAATCTTGACAACAACACTTATTCCTCTGTGGTTCATCAAGTGGCGAAGAGAGGCGGACAGACTTTACCCCGTCATTTCGTACGTCCAGAATTGTTAAATGCGGAATCTGTAAATTCATCCTGGAACAGTTTGGGAAACAAGTGCACTTAAGGTTAATATTAAAATTGATTTTACTTGGCGGCAAAAGATCACTCATCAAAACATTCAGTAGTTGGTCCCGGCGAAGCAAGTGCCTGAATTCGTTAACACGGACAATATTGGACCGCGATAGATGAGCTTAAACTTAATTTAAGGTATAGATTATATTACTTCTAAATTACTTGCGGAAGTTTTTAAAACTGAAAGTGTTTTATTTTTCTGCATATGCAGATTAAATAAATTAATCGATGAATTACAAACCAAGCCGAGGAAAAGAATCGGGTGGCATCAATGAATTTTGAATGAAAAAGTTTTATCCTAGAAAGAGAGTTAAATTTTCTTATTTATGTAATTAGTATATGGTCCTAATCATGAATTTTTATTGAATTCTAAAATGATTTATAATGGTTTATTGCCATTAATCACGAAGATATGTTTCTCAGTTTTATCATTTGTATTTGCTTGGGGCCTTATGAATGTCAAAAAACGCAAATAAAAGGCATTTTCAATATCACTTGTACGCATGCAGTTTTAATGAGATTGGAGCTCATATTACAAAAAGATTGTTTAAGCCTGTCGCGCGGTTTGCATTATACGGCGTAAGCATCAAACTTAACAGTTTTTAAACCGAGATGTTTTTCAGTAAGTAGCCCCCCTTTTAATTTAAGCATGCGTTTTTGCTGTGTAGAACAGTGGTTGCCTTCATACTCCTTCTCCTCTCTTGTTCGACTTATCAATTTGTAAGCGGAGAAGGCAACACTGAATGACTAACACAAGCGCCTTTGACCGTGTATTATATTTGAACTTGACACAAGACAATACCCTCTCTCTGGCCGAGCTAGAGGAGCATGAAGCCTTACTCTGGCTACCAAGAATCTTACTCCTCTGTTAATCAACCCTATTCATTTGCTTCAACTGTCAATTTTTGTCTCATGTTATGTTTCCTTTCTCCGGCAGTTTTAGGTCAGATGTTGATGAGGGTCGTTGATGTGTATGTTGTTGGAGGAGGCAGGAGTTAGAAGGAAATTTCTGGCTTAAGCAGGGGCCATTTGCCTTAAGTCTTAAATAGATCAAAAAATTCTCAGTGGCGCATGTTAGTTCATTTTCACTTTCACTTTGATGGCTCAGCAGTTTACATAATTGATAAAAAAGACTCAGCTCCGTCGAGCAAAGCACGCAAGACCAATGAGGTGGCTAAACGTGACTGGGGGGAGGAGACGAAAGAGGCGCGAAAAAGCTGCTGCGCTCTCTTTTCGCGTCTCGCTGTTTCGTTGCATGTGCGTGTGCCAGAGAAACGTCATTTTCCAACCTCGTTCCCAGGGTTGGTCATTTTCTAGGGTCACATGTAAAAGTGCGTCTTAGCTTCGTACTACTAGAATCAACGATGTCGAAAGCGCACTAGACTGGCTAGGGGGCTTGAACAAAGTGATCAATTTAGGTATCTGGGAGACTGCCCACCCACCCCTCCCCTGGATTGCCCCAAAGGCGTTTTTGAGGGATGCACGTCAACTGGAAGAGAGGAGTTTTTCTTGCCTTAACGCTACCAAATTCGTATTTCTAAATGTCTCAGTTACTCTTATAAGAGACGATCTGGGCGAAAATTAGGGCAAAACCACTGCCCACCAAAATGCAAAAAGTCCATTTCCGTTTGACGTGTGTCGCTTACTTTAGACTCCTTTACTTTAAAAGATCCCTAATAGATCATAAAGGATATGTTCACGTCTCGGACTACGACAGACGAAAGCTTATGAGCCATATTTTGGTTATATTTTAATACCTATTTGAAAAAGTCAATATGGAAGAAGCGCTTTAGAAACATTTTTAATTGGCAAAATTTTTAAAGAAAGTTTGTACACCCATGCCAAAAATATCTTTCCGAGGGTTGATTTAATTTCAGCCCGCCGATTACTCTAAAAAAAAGAAAAGAAAAAAGAAAAAGGAAAAAAGTGGACACTTCAAGAAATTCACCCCACCCCTCCACCCCTACACATTCATTCATTGTTCGTCAGTACCAGGCTCCCATCTGCTATCGTTCCCGGTAATCCTTGCGCCACATGGTAAATATCTCTTCACTTCCGATGTATAATACCTTCTCTCGCTGTGAGTAACTTTTTTTTTCTAAAACGTCCTGTGGATGGCGAACTTTGACGCAATTTTTGATGAAAATCTTCAGGAGGACGAGCGAGTCTCTCAGGCTTCTGACGAACTTGTTCAAGTGACCCCAGAGCCGGTGGTCATTCGCGGCGTAGGACATATGACTGTGTGAGTTGTGTTTACGCTTTTCGAGAGCATTCACTCGAAGTTCATATTTGTTCTGTGCCTTTTTGGCTCTACTTACCAACTACATTATACCTTGCAATGGCACAAGTTAATTGCTTTTTCCATTGGTTGTTCTTCTGGCTTATAGATTTGGTCTCAATAGCAAATTTGACGTGGAATTTAAGCAAGGACTTAGCGCGAAGGTAGGGATTTTCTTTGTGAGTCGATGTGCGCGTGGTCGTTTTGTAAGGAGCTGGACGCCTTATAAGCTTATATTTTCAGGTTTTATTTGACGTTTGTGTTGCCTCAGTGTAGGAAATCCCAAAATACTTCATAAAAAACAATGATAGTTCAATGTCTTACACCATTGGTTGACGAAAAAAAAACTTTACTCAAGATAAATTTGTTCTCTAATTTTTTGTAACAAATTGAACGTTTCTTTGTCCGAGTATCAGCCTATTCTTAAATTTACCATGTGTGTGTGTTTTTTTTATCTGTGCACGAAGTCTGGATCTGTAATTGGCTAATGTTGAACAGTTGAATTCGAATCTAGTTTTTCGTCTTCTTGGATGATACGACCTTGTATGTGTGTTCCAGGAAAATTGATTTGAATCGAATAGGAACGGTAAAGGTGAATAATTCGTTAATTTTAATTTCATTTTTGTTTAAGCTTAGCACTTTTATAAAGCGGCCACCAGTAAACGCCGATATTTGTAAACAACCCCCTTTTGGTTAGGGAACAACAATAGCAATCTTTCCAAATCAGAGTAATAAACTCTGCTTTATATAATTAAGCATCCATGTTTTAAGACATTTGTGCTCATGTTTTGCCTCTGAGTGATCAGTGATAATTTATGCCCTAGTACTATAAGAAGTATGAGATACTGGTTGTTACAGGGTCAGAAGTCACTTGGGTTTTTTTTCCAGACACTTCTTCATACTGTTGATGAATAGGCATCTTACATTTATAAGTGACTCGATGTTAGTGTTGGGAGATGACTGAAATATCATAATCAATTATCAGTAATAACTGTATTGACCCAGCATATCAATCATCAATTGTAAACCGGAAAATATCTCTTTAAAAATTCCATTTACTATAAGGAGAGCCACTGTACCATGATTTAGAACACAAGAAAAACATACAAAATGTATGAGAAAAGGGACATCAATATCCTGTAGCTCAGTGGTTGGAGTTTCCAAGCTAGTCAGAACTCAGAGGGTTGTGAGTTAGATTCTCACCTGGAGCTTGGGATAATTTGATGATCGTCCTTTCGTCCTTTATTATGAGGGTCATTAAAAAGACAACACACAAGTTTTTAATATGTTTATTTGCCAACAAGAATTTTATTTTTTCCCATGATAATCAATTGTACATTTTCCATGAGCAGTTATCGCATTGTTTAAAGTTAGATTAATGATCGATTATAATCGAAGATCGGCGCACACTACTACATGATGTAGATGCGGATACCACGTAAAAAGGGTGTTGCAATGTATCAACTGTTGCTAATGCTCGTTCTTCAAGGCAAATTCAGAATCTTGTTATTAATATATTTTTATGCCTACACTGTAGGTTGCCCCTGAAGAGTACAAAGCAACTGTAATGAGAGTCAACAGAGTTCTTAGTAAAACAATGCCTGTAAATGTACGTTGGTTACTTTGTGGTTGTATCTGTTGTTGCTGTACTCTTGGCATGTCCATGTGGCCTGTTGTTTGTCTAAACAAAAGAGTAAGTAGTCATTCTGTTTGAAATAGACTAAGAGTCTTCTTGGATACATTCAAATCTGTTTAAGGTATGGTCCTTTGCCAGTTAATAAGTTCTTCTTTTCTTATCATATTGTATGAAGATATTAGCCTCTATGTCTACTCTAAAACTTGTTTTGAAATCAAGTTCATGTATTTATGTATGTATATGTTGTAGTTAATTTTTTATCTCGGGTAATTTTATTTTTCCTTTGTTTCAACTTCATTAGCATACATTACCATACCTGAAAACAAAAGAAAAACAAAAATTACCTGAGATAAAAAATTAACTACGACATATATATATTACAAATAGGTGTTTTTAAAATCATATAATTTAAGAAACTTCATGTATTTCCTGTAGATCTTTTTCATGTAACATCAACTGGCCCTGAGTAATAATGCTGCAGAACCAATTTGGTACTTGGACTAATTGACCAAACATGTTCATTCAATAAAGTTCATAATTAAAAATATCTATCTATGTCTTAAGATTAAGTTACTTAGTAGATTCCTGCAGTGTGGTAAGATAAGCTGTAACAGCATGGGCTGCCAGTGGGTCAACCGGCCACATAAAGTATATTGTATACCTATACATAAACAGGTTTTCCCAGGAGACTCGAAAGTGTGTCTTTATCTGCTTTAGTTAAAATTAAAGGCAGATTTGGATAACCTGACCACTGAATGATGTCATTATTCTTTTATTGTAGACAAGGCATTCCATTAATAAGGTTTTAGATGCTGAAAACTGCCACCTTTACCACAAGGTTTGTATAGAAGTCTTGAATAATGACAGCTTGTTCATTCGATTACTATAAGTCAAACTTAAACTCCTCAAAAATAGACGAGCTTGGGTGCTAGTGCCTTCAAGGTTGGTGGAGCCGGGCAATGCTCTAGCACAATGAATGTGGTATCCATGGCAATCCTGTGAGTGGTCTCTGCCAGGTACTGTCACGCTGAACTGTTCAGTGGAATACTTAGTGAGGACACATTCAAAGAACTGCAAGCAAGCAACTTTGTATACGCTGTAGTTACTTTTTTCAGGTAATTTTTATTTTTCCATTGCTTTTGGGTTTGGTAGTGTATGCTATTGAATTGAGAAGAAAGGAAAAACAAAAATTAACTGAAATAAAAAATTAACTGCAACATATACAAGTCGCAAGGTGCCCTTGCTAGACCCTTGCGAGAAGCATCGGGCTGCTCCTAGCACAGTTGGGAAAACTGCCGACCAGCATTGGTTTGAGTTAACTTTGCCTAAATTACATTTAGCCACATTTATATCAGTGTAGTGCTAAATTTCTGTTTATTGTTCTCAGCTTGGACTCCATTGGCGTCTTAACAAACAGCGATGTAATTCCAGTAACATGATGGAATATGTAAGTTCTGTTCATGGGAGCTGTTTCTCACAGTGATTGTGTTAGTCTAGGGGTTAGTTAGAAACCTTGCAGGCTGGTAGTCTGTTGTAACAAATAACTTCCAACAGTTTCTAGAATTTCTTAACAAGTTCACCATGCTACAATGATGCCCTGTTAGGGTAAAATTCTGACGAGTGAAATGGCCTTGAAACAGTGACATAAGGCAAATGAAATGATGACATTGAGTGACGTAAAGATGGGTTAAATACCAACAGGGACATTGCCTTTTCCTCATAAAAAAAACGTGAAACAACCATATTTGAAATCCAGACCAGGGACATACGTACCCTCCTAAGAGGAGCTCTACAATGTTTACTAACATGAATGTTTCCAAATTCATATTTGTAGGTTTTGCTAGTAGAATTCTTGCCAAAGGAACAAATTTTAAAACCAGACTGATGACTGATGTTGTCATGTGATCACAAGAGCTCTCCTGGATTGTGAATATAAAATTATTGTATTATTGTATATTTCTTAACATAATTTGTATTAATAAGACAGTAAATAGAAAACAACTGTGTAACATACACTGTGAAAAAAATCCAAATATCAGATATACTCTACAAGTCCTGCATGTTTTGTAACAAGTCTTGTCAGGTTGTATTGCAAGCAAGATTTTAGCTTCACTCCATTGCACAGTGATATGAATTCCAGATTATTTTTGATACCAAAACAAATTCAATAATTTAGCTGACACTGAAAACTGTATGTACTTTCTCAGTTCAACAAACAAAATGAAGTGCCAACACCTAAGGAGAAATGAATTGAATTGAGCAATTTTTTGTTGTTGTTGTGTTTTCTGTAGTTTGGTTTGTTGGTACTGGTAAATGGTGTTTTCTGCATTCAAGGCCTTCCAACCAAAACATGCAAGGTTTCATGTCTTGTAGCATATTAAGTTATTGATAATGATTTTTGAAGTTAATAGTTCAGCTATAATTTTTATATTTTAAGATAACAAATGGAGCAGAGAGAATTTCAATTACCAGTTTTATTGAAGTCATTATTTTTTTCCTTTCTCTTTTGACATATTGTTATGATTTAAACCCTCAGAGAGTCTGAGTAACATTATTGATTTGTTGTAATAACCAGGGCCAAGTTGTTTGAAGTTCAATGGGCTCTAATGCTGGGTTAACTTGTTCTACTTGTCCTTTGAACAATCTGGTTGCTGCTGACCCACTTCAGCAACCATTTAGCCCCATCTGAGGGTCTCAATGGGGTTAACCGTTAGGCGTCAACCAGCCTAAAATTCAACTGTCAACTGTCCAAAAAGGTTATTTTTACCGTCAACGGTCAATAATGCAGATTAATATTAAGTTTTAAGGTATTTCAAATCTTATTATTTCAACTGATCTTCACGGACTTCCGGCTCTCTCCACTCTCTCGAGACATCACAAGACCTTACAAGTTGCTTGTATCTGAAAATGTTTCAAAATTTTATATGAGAAAGGCCAAGACAACCTCAAAAACCCAGCAGTTACTATTAATTTATACGGGAGTTAATATTTCCTTTTTCTCTTGGACAAAATTTCTACCACGTAACCATCAACCGTCAAAAGCTTTTAAATGTAACCATCAAAATGGGAAAAAAAATTTCTTCTTTTTATTGGCTGCAAGTCCACCATGTGACCTGCAAAGAACTGCCTTCTAATAACGGTCTGCTCATGGGCAATGTCGTCCAACTGTGTTTGGCTGCAAATAATATTCTGCTCATGCATAAATAAAACCACACTTTTCTCCTTCTTGCAATCACTGTTGCGTGAAAAATGGCATATCGCTTCGCTAATGAAGATATTCATTAAAAAATTGATTTGGTGATTGAATGGTAAAACAATTATTTAACTTGGTTATCGCAAAATATCGTGATTTGTCAGTGTGTCGTAGATCAGTTATTTGCTTCATCCTTTGGCCTTCATGCTTTCTTCTCAGCACGTCTGACAAATCATGATATTTTGTCCAACCTTATCCATGAATTGTTGAAAGCTACAACTCCATTGAGACCCTCCCATCTAGTACCGTAATTTACCAATGTCATAGATACTCTTTGCATGTAACGTTAAGCATCTCCCTTAGCAAAGTTAAATGAGAAAAAGGGATTTAATGAAAGGTCTTTTAAAATGACGACATTAAATTTGGATATCAAGGTTGTTTAAAAAGTTTATAAGGCCTAAACATGTGTCCACTTTTTTTGCTCATTTTTGCTTGTTACCAGTATTGAAGTATATTTCCTTGCGATTTTCATAAATTGATTGTGTATAATATGTTGTCCTGTTTCTCTGTGAATTAGTAAAGTGAGGCTCAAATTAATTCTTTAAGATAACAGTTTATTTATTTATATTATTTTGCATTGTTAAAATAGTAATAGAATTATTTTTATTGTTGTTGTATTTGTCAGTGTCCCATGACTCATTAGCCTGCAAGCAAGCTCTCCTATTTGGGCAAGCGAAGCGAGCCTCGCGAGAACGCGCGAGCAAAGGGGCCGGCTCCTCGCGGCTTTGCCGCTCGCTCGCGCGTTCTTGCATGGCTCGCTTCGCTCGCCCAAATAGGAGAACTTGCTAGCAGGCTAATGACACATTATCATTGAATCTTGCCTTGAAAACTCTTTTTAAAATCACGGTTACACTATGAGACTTATTTGCTTGTTGATGTTAGGAGTTGTAAGGGTTGAAATATTCTTTTGTGTTCCAGCAAAGGTTTCCCTCGTGTAAGGGAATCCAAGACAGTCTTGGATTCTGGATTCCATACTGTGGATTCCAGTCCAGTCAGTGGAACTTGGATTCTTGATTCCATTCGTTTGTAGGATTCCGGATTCCTTGAACTGTATTCTGGATTCCAAACTCCAGGATTCTGCATTTCACAGGCAAAATTTTCTCCAATTCTGGATACCAAAAGCAAAAATTTCCCAAAATCCTGAATCAGAATTCCCTTACATAAGGTGAAAAGGTTCTGTTTCTTTTATGGCATTTATTGACTCCTAAAACTTAAGGTATTGCCAAATAAAGGCAATAAACTTGCCATGAAAATGTAAATCAAGTTTCCTGGGGCAAGATGTCTTTTCACATATTTCTTAAGTATTTTTTTCCTTTTTAAGAACATTCACCTGTGAAGACACACGTGCTGGCATGTGTTAACCGGTGCAGGCACCAAATATTAAGATAATAATATGTTATTTTTAATTATTAGACTCTATTGCTTTCCTGGTTAAGGGTTTACTATTGCTATATGGCTGGTTTAATAGTCAACATTTTTCTGGTGCTAGTTTTAATAAAGTGGTGAAAATGATGAAATCATTGTTGTGTAGTTATGAAAATAGATAATGACGACCTTTACTTGGGCAGTACATTTGAAACGGGGGCTTGTAGACGGAATGTAATGGACGTCTGAACATTAGATTTCACTTGTTGCACTCAACACTCCTTATTCCTCACATAAAATGCAAATGCATATAAAATAAACCCCTCTTACATTTGGAAAGACCTCGATAAAAGCTAGCCCTCTTGGATTTTATGTAGGATAAGCGAACTTAATACTTGGGAACAATTCTTGCAAGACCACTTTGACAAACCAGCAGTGAAGTGAAACGGGATCGTGGTATCGATCAGGATCAGCAAATTATAGAATAGAATAGAATAGAACTAAAAATTAAAGGCAACGCTGAGCGGACTGCTTGGATGGGTATTTATTTGCCCCTTGCTTACATCTTTATAGCCTGGCCACTGATACTGCAAATATTTTTAGCTCAAGGCTTTATGCTGTTTTTTTCGAGAGGATATCTCTCTCAGCTACAGATATCATTCAAGGTTATTCAGAACATCACAGGAAAGGTATTTATTGGACGCCAAAGCACAAGGCCACTCGGGGTCGGCACCCTGGGTCGGCACGACCAATCCTGGAAAGTACCACCGTGAGGCGTGAGCGGACTGGGAACCAAAACTTTCCCGCCAAATACGCGCCAAGTGCATTGTTGTTCGATTTACAAAATGGCGGACGAAATGCAGCCACCAGCGAAGAAGCGTAGGAAGACAGAAAAAACAGGATCCGATCTTGATGATAAGCTTGAATCAAAGCAGCAGTCTGCAAAGGAATCGGGTGAGATTGAGAAATTAAACTCACTATACACGATTTTTCGCAGTTCGCAGCAGTTTAGCTATAAAAGTTGCATCTTAAAACTGTTTCTGCAGGTAAAGATGTGAATAGTCGCAACGATCTTAAAGAAAAGATGAGGGAAACATTCAAAGTTGAACTTCCCTCGGATTTTTTCGATTTTTGGGATTTTTGCAAAAATCTGAAAGGTGGAAATCCATGTGGTAAGTC